AGGCGGCCGATTTCGGACCAGTTGAGCTGTATTTTCTGGTTTTTGACCAATCTAGGATGCATTTGGTGCGAACGACTTCATCATGTTCACTCGGTTTAGCAAATCCGTTCAAGGAAGACCAGTTTACCACAGATGAACTTCGAATTTGCTGCCCTCTTCACCTAAGCTGCCATCTCATGCTGCCAATTCCACCATCTTCCGGGCACAACCACATGAACGGCCAACGGCATCCGGGGCTTTGTCGTTCTGGGCTCACCACCCCCGCACCTACACCTTAATATCTACCTACCTTGTCTCACATCGCGTAGCGTTGGGCCCTTATGGGAGTGTCGTGCATTGATCTGACCTGATTATAGGACAGAAATGAACATGTCCGTTTTGCTTTAGAGCTCAGGATCTACGGCCCACGCAGTGGAGCGAGGAGGCACCGGGCAACGTTAAAGCGACTTTATTTCAAACTTCGTTTGTGCCAGCACTCGGCGTCCGGCTAGTGTTGGGTGGAGATAAAAACAATAAAATCCCTTGTGGTGCCCTTTTCTCCTGCGTTTTTGAAGTAACTTCACCCTAGGTTTCCGTGATATCACTCTAGCACTTAGGAAATGCGATTTCGATGGTTAGCGGCAGCGATGGACCACTGTCATAATTAATATTCCCGATCACAACCGACAGGACAACGGGCCCGTGGCTCAATGGTAGAGCGTCAAACTCCATGACCAAAGATCCCGGGTTCGAATCTCAAGTGATCCACACTTGGGGTTGGGTATGACTGGCTGATGACGGCCTGTTGCACTCTTAGCGAGCTGCTCATGTATTATATGTGGTATGTGTCCTCTGACACAGCGTTCGTTGTCGCCAGTAGCAAGCTGGCGGGCGGACAGAATGGGATCGAGTGAGATCCTAACCACAACAGTGAGAGTCAAGCGCCCACTTGACATATATATATATATATATATATATATATTTATATGTGGTGGGAGGGGGTCCATCGTTATACAACTGTCTACGAGTTCTGTTGCTAGAGTTCTAAGTTGCAAAGAAATGAACTCGTCCTGCATTCCGAGCGGTGAACGCCTTCTCACCCGTGTTAATTGTCTCAATAACGCCCGATAGGACAACGTAGGCATCACTTAATGGAGAGTGGTGGGCAACTTGCCGCTCAATGACCAAATAATCCGGGTTTGAATCATAGATCATCCAGACCTGGGGTTAGGTACGGCTGACTGGCAACAATTACCGCGCAAGCAATGGTCATCCCAGTCTTCCTTATCACCATCGATACTCCCTCTACTCTGCATATACGTTGGATTTCTTAATGTTGTAATGATAGCTCATACAATTTTTGATCTTCACTGTTACTCCGCTGTAAACAGGCCGATTTCTGACACCGAAATGCCCCTCACTTTGTCACCATATCTGCCCGCTTCTTGAAGATATCACGTGAATTCTTCATGCTTCTCAACTCAAGCAGGCCTTTGAAGTGTTGCTTTCCCTCAGTGTCGCCCAACCCTTTGCCTTCTATATGTTCTCAGGGGCGCCAAGTCCATGGTGTATGTGTGTGAGGAAATGAGGTCAGCTGTGAGTCATAACTCAAGCCGGACGGGTTGACTTATCCTTGCTCGGGGCAGCTGAAGGCTAAACATTGGTACTTGGACTGCAGAGCGCATCATGCTACATTAGGCGCAGATGAGTGTACTGGCGTATCTTGGAGGGTTGAAGTACACACACATGCACACGCGGCCCCGTCACATCTTCTTCGCCTCACTGCTCTGCGGCTGAGGACGAGCAGATAGCCCGGAAATGACAAAATTGATCCGCTGCCGACGGAGGCTGTGGAAGGTTGCATGTAAATGAACAGTCTTGCAGGCCAACACGCATTACCAGGATGCCGGTTAGGAGCTCATAGGCGTCGCCCGTCGCAGACGTACAGATCGCAAAATCAAAACGTAGGAGACGTTTGGACAAAGTAGGGAGACTGGTAGGGCCGCCGTTAAATTCTGCGTCAGCCAGCCGTATTCCAGCAGGACAAAGAGGCAGTTTGTGCGGAGCTTGTAGACAAGTTGCTGTTCTAGCTGCTCAGTATGCCCTTCTTGGAAAGGGAGGCAAAATTGCATTTTTTTCGTCCATATTTGGGCTTTTAAATGATGTCGACTGCTGCCGGACTATTTAAATCCTGGGCAGAAGTAAGGCCTTTTGCCATGGAAACTGCAATTCTCACAGAACACTCGGCCCATTTATGACATCATAAACAGGAAAAATTAGCTAAATGACTATTTTTCGTTACCCGGTCTGTTGTGAGGCTCAGTGCACAAGAGCGGATGTGCTGGAGGCACCCTCACCAACTCCATCATAGTTATCTCAAGTCACATTTTCGTCTTAGGTCAGGTTCTTATCATGACAGTTGTTTCGTCCGAGATCAGGTGAAGGACAGCTCGCAATTTTCACTCAATTCTCACGAATGAAGGCGAAGTTTCGAGTTCCAGGTGTATTCTTTAGTGAAAAAGAAGAGATTTCGAGCACCGGAAGATTTTGTTTATTGTCCTGAGCTTTCGGACTCGTGCAGGAGTCCATCGTTAGAGATTGTAGCAGCAACAGAACAGGCAGCAGTTATAGGACATTGAGGCCAATCATCGACCGACGGCGCAGGACTGGAGGTGATTGCGCAGGACTCCATACGCCGGTGCCAGCCCAGGACAATAAACAAAATGTTCCGGTGCTCGAAACCTCTTCTTCTTCTTCACTCACCCAATTCTCATAAGCAATACTGGATCTGAAAACTCCGGGTCGGTTTACATTTGGATTGTGTCGATTGTAGCGCATGCTTCTGCGGACAGAACAAGTAGTCCAACTGAGCTGGCGAGCTGGTGCATTCCGTCGGCCGTTAACTCGCACGATAGGCGCTGTTGTGTCGCTTAAAAATGCGATGGTCAAAGTATGGTTTGCATATCAAAAGAATTCACATCCTAAGTCACTGAACAGACGGCCAGTAGCAATGAAGTCTCTGCTACGAAGTCGCACTTCCCTTGCTCACTGATAAACACTTTTACATCCGCCCAATGATAGATCTATATCGCACCGAAAGGGAATTAATACAGTCTGGTGGTGGAGGCGCTGAGACAACCCGCACCTGACGCGGCTTATAGTGCTCCAAAGGAAATACCGAATGAGGATGACAGGAGATGGCAGTGGACACAGTTATTTACGAGGCCGAATTGACGTCTGAGCGTGATCCACGCAGGCTGGTACCTGCACACAAACAAATGGACCAGACGGTATGACGGCAATCCCGGGCATTTCGTGGTACGAAGCGCTAGCAAGGAAGGTCTTATTACCGTCTGCTCCACAGTTTGAAGGGATAGTCAGCAATCTGTGGTCACTTGGCAAAGCTCTAAGTTGATATCGCATGCACATCAGGTTGTTTGTGGTGGTAAAACGGGACACCGAGTTCCCGATGGATCGAGATTACTCGTCCTCTCTCCGTCTCTTTCTCACTCCTCTCGGAATCATACGCAAATGGGGACTATAAATAATGAAGTAGGACACAGAAGCCGACATGGCACAAAACTTCTGTCTACGCGTGCCACGTGCGTGCTGGGTCTTTCACTCCCGGTCATCACAACGGGCTGTGCTGCGAAGACGATGGGCCAAAACGCGAGCCAGCGTAGCTGACGGCGCACGCTAACCGGGCTGAGTTACGTCCGCGCGAGAAAATAGCTAATGCCAATTATGCGTATGGCACGCCCTAGACGTAGGTCTGCACATGCAATCCCACCACCAGCTGGCTGAGAGCCACGGACGGTAGGCTGGCCCATGGGAAAAAGAAAATAAAGTGGGAACGGCACAGAGGAAAGCATTCCCACACCACGCTAGTGCATCCCTCTCTATAGTAAATCTTACAAGTTTTGGAATCACCACAAGGGCCTAAAAGCATGAGTTGGAAGTCTGTCAGGTGACTAGATAACTCCATCCTCGGGGTCAGCACTGTGTGTGTGTGTACATGTGGAATCACTGGCTGGCGGACTGCGAGTCAGGTTCGAATGACCCCTTTCCAAGAACGGCTTCTATGCCACCTCCATGAACGTGAGATCCGAGCCGCCACCTATTTCTCTGAAAAGTTTGTACGCTATGTGGGGCCAGGTCGTGTGTGGCGCGCGTAGATGGCCAGTTTAGTGTTGTCAGTCACTGCACCTGCGTCCGCCTCCGGTTGTTTTGATACTGTTCTGCCATCAGAACCAGGTGGGTGAGGAGGGATATAGTGCAGTAGATGCCGTACGCGTCCACCTCACCTTAAAGTAATTCATGCACAAACCATCGTTCTGCACCAAAGCCGTGGAGCACATGGTGGGCGTTGTCCCTCTTGACTGTCGGCTCTTACGCGCAGATGGGTCAGCCTTCAAGACCAGATATATTACCTGGGATTCGGTCTCATCACTCTCTAACTCCACCACCGTGTACCAGTAGCAAGTCCGACCTAAGCCAGTCAGAGCATATGAGAATGACTACTGTGGCTAAAGTGTTTCAAATCCTCCTTTGGAGCAGGCCACACACGTGTGTGTGTGTAGACAGAGTTTGGGCCCCGGGGTGGAGAGGAACTCGTGCTGGCTGCTTATCAGGGCAGCGGCGGTCTTTTTAAAGCTCTTCGCAAGCGAGATCGCCCAGATGGCATCAGCTGTCATATTAATGCAGCATCTCCAATGCACATAAAAGGGGAAGCCTAGGACACACTGTGGCTTATTTATCATGGCCAATAATGCACTATGTCGAGGGCCTTCTGTCCTCTTAAATCCTCTGGAATCTACCGGAATCTAAACTTGTGAGACTAGTTAGCGCCAGATGCAGGTCTAGAACCACGGATCCGACGGCAAGATCTTTCACGAAGGAGTGGTGCGCATACGCTGATAGTTTTTACTGTTTCTGAGGCCACCACCCATGTCTAATCTCTTTGATTTTAACATTTTCTTTTATGCATTTTCTTGTCAGTCACTGATCCAAAAGCGGGGGAGATGGCGCGCAACGTTCGTGAATTCGTACGGCGAATTTCCTCCCAGGATTTGGATCAGTACCCGGAATGGGACCTTACGGTGAGTTGCCTCATTCTCAATAGAATTGCTGAATAAAATGAGGGACATTCGAGGATAGCGTATATCACCTAGCGAACAGACTAATAAACCCACATCGTCTTGATCGTTTTTGAAATAGTTTCACACCTTTCCGTTGTTGTTGTTGTTGTTGCTCGAAGTGATACAATGGTAGGACTGACTTACACGGACGTCTTAGTGAGACATGTGAACAGGAACCGTCTGCAATACCGGTTGACTTTGAGCCAGTGAAATTAGGGTCAGATTTAAGGTTAGAGTTAAGTTAAGGACTAGGTTTAAGGTTAGATTTAAAGTTAACGATAGCGTAAGCCAGGACCAAGTTAAGGGTTAGGGTGGGAATTAATGTTAACTGCAGAGTTAAGACCTAGGGTAGGATTATGGTCAAGATAAGGACAACAGCTTAGTTTCATAATGGGATTATTGTGAGGGTAAGACTATGGAATTATTTTGCTCTTTCTAGAATTACGCGCAGGTCCACCTTTATTACTTGGACAGGACGTACTTATTCCAGTGCTCTGCTTAGATGGCCATATAAGTCAAACTGTGTGTCATCTAGGTCACTTAGTCTTCACTATATCAATGTGGCCACTCCAACTTCAAGATACTTCGGTTGTCGCACCACTGAAAAAAATTCTGGACTAGATCGCAGTTGGTAGCCAGGAATGGGGAAGCGGACGGCGACCTAACCCTAATCTTACCTTAACCCTAACCTCAGCCTTAAACCTTAAGCGCTAACCCCAACGGCAAGCCTAACCCTAACCCTAACCGAAATCGTAAAAGTAACCGTAGCCCTTAGGCATAGCTGTAGCTGAAAAACCTAACCGTAATACTGAAACATATTCGTATGCTCAAACCCTAACCGTAACCCCGAAACATAAGCCTAAAGGCATAACCGTAACCCGAAAATCGGAAACCATTAACCGGTACCCTAATCCTAACCTCAAACAAAAAAAGGAGGCCAAATAGGGTCAGGTGTGATTATGGAGCCCCACAAAATAGCCCCAGTAAACAACCCGCCTCCCCGCCATCTGTAATACAGGGCCTGGCTACCAACTGCGATCTAGCCAAATTCTGTTCTTCAGATAAGAACGGATTTGCTTTTATGAATTACAGAACGAAATAGATTAGATTTCGTAGGCCAATCGAAACTATCGCAGCTTACTTTTCGGCATAAAGGCATAAAAATGAAGTTGTGAAGGTTTGGGCATTGTACGTCCTCCGGTTGATATAGAGGTACCCACCTGAGTTGACAGCTCAACTCGTCAGCATTGCAGATCAGTCAGAAGCGCTTGCATTTTATCTTCTGTTCCTATTTTGCTTCACACACACACGCATCCCTCTCCCTTGCCCTCTCAAAAAAGAAACCACTCCCGCGCTTGCCTGTGCCGGAGCTGCGAACAACGCTGAATCGCTATCTCGGTGTTGTTGCCCCGATTGTCGACGAGGAGGCCTTCAAGCACACTCGACAACTCGTCACTGAGTTTGCGCGCTCAGGCGGAGAGGGGGAGGAGTTGCAGGCGGCCCTTCAAGCCCATGCAAAGACTCTCATCAACTGGGTGAGTCCGAGTCTGCTCTCCACTCCACTGCCCGCACACCCCCCCCCCAGCGCCCACTTCCACCGCCTGTGAGATGAGGCTTGTTTAGATGATTTGCTGAAGTGCGGCTTTATGTGAGTCTGGCCGGCTCGTCGGAGCGAAACTCTCTGCATGGTGGAGCCATCCGGGAGGATCTGTCCGTGTACGAAAGCAGGGGTTGTTTCAAGGACAACTGAGTGTTTTTTATCGTTTTTTGTACTTGTGTGATATCTGACCCTCCTCTGCGATTGCCGAATGCGACGAAGGTCATGAACCATGGGCTGAACTCTCAGAGCACTCGCCAGCGTCGAATGTAGTTCCAGGGCGCGATGTAGACGGAAGGCTTTTGCCTTTCGCGTATCTTTACGGCAACCGTTCCAGTTGGTGTCAGGAAAAATGACGTCAAACAAGTAGTGAACTTTCTGAAGTTTATTTCCGATGCTTGGTCAACTTTCCTCGTATTTCAGGCAGGGAATATTATGCATCTACACTTGTTGTGTTCATTTGATGGAAATTCCCCTTTCTGAAGAATATGTTTTCGATAGGGTACTGTCTTATAATTACAAACAAACTATACAATTACAGCCTGCATGCGACGTAGCACAGCCGCACTGGAGACTGTTGCTTTTACAGGTATATGGGTGAAGTCTTATCGACTGCAAAGTTGTGTAGACACCAAAGGCCAGCCTCCAAGACACAAGCGCGCATCCTATACTGTGCCCGCCTTCAGCGTAAGTGAAACTGAGGGTTTTTTTAAGATAAATCGGGATTTCTTCTTTGGAGGGAGCTCTGTCATCTAGCTCAGAAAAACTTGTAATTATGAGAAGATTTTAGACGCTGATATGATCGCTCGGTTGGTGTTTCATAGTTACGAAAGGAGTATACTGACGGAGCCTTATCCCTCGCAGCATTGCCTAAGCGGCCCCGTTCTGGAAGTGCAGGCGTGCATATTACCTCGGCTTATAAGAATACACACACTATATGTAATTGGTCAACCGGAAGCGTGGGTGAAAACGAAGGGTGTGTTTAGCACTGTATGGGAATTAGTAAACGCCCTCTTTAAAACAGAAAAACATTTCCTTAAAGTGGACCATGCGAAGAAGGCGGAATTTCCTAGGAAGAAATGGCGAGACACGGGAATAGGAGCTCCCCTGTAGTAAGGGTGGCGTTTCATTAAATTTCAGGGAGTTTATGGTTAGAGTTAGGTTTTGGGTTATGGTTCAGGTCAAGGTTAGTGTTAGGTCACGCGGATCTAGTGCAAGGTCATCGGTATTACCGATGGGGTTCCCACTTCAGTGTTCTGCAGAGGACAGAACCAAATAGATAGTTTTGTGCTTGTCGCTCAGAAGATATGATTGGATTTCACCAGATGTTTAAAACCAAAAGGAAAAGGCCAACTTGCATACGTAATGACTGGCACACGTTACCAACAGTGTACCCAGCTGAAATCCTCTCTTCTGACATATATGAATAACCCAGGGCTTAGGTTTTATATTTGTTGCAAGTGAAACCCGGGGGTAACAATGGCAGTCAGTGCTTCACAAGTTTAGGCACATAGTGTGTCATTAGAAGCACTCTTTGTAAAAAACACGAGGACAGCCCTATATGCTGGTCTGTTTTACCCGGAGTTTCTATTCAGCAACTTCATTGTCATTATGATGCGGCCCAGAACGAATCCGAAATGTCAGATGGACAACGTTCCTGTTGAAGCGATCGAGTCGCTTTCTTCAGATTTGTATATATTTCATCCTCCTCCTTGTGAAGGCCGCTAATTAATGGGAGAACATGTAGACAAGAGAGGCTGTCAGAATCTCTGGCAGCAGTCAAACTTCAAAATTGCAACTTCCCGCACCGAGTCAGCTGCAATAGGGAATGGCATCGAGCATATCTAGTTTAGTTGGACTGCTGGAATGTGAGGCCCGGTTTGGGTTTACGCAAGTCGTGTGATCCAGCTAAGAGTAATCAAAAAACCAGTGCAATTGGTCAACGAACACATAAGAATTAAGACAGTCATTTTTGACTTGCTCACTGTCGTCAGCTGGATAGACAAATGTGATCCATCCCCTTGTCGTCGGCAATTCAACCGGGAATCAATGTCCGGTGGATTGATCTAAATTCCCTCTTCTGCCAATTGACATCTGGAACTGTAGCGGTCTGCAGCAATGAGACACCTAATCCGATCAAACGGGAGTCTTCAGCAAGAAAGAGCAGTTTGGCGAAATATCTTCGTGAGATGTAGAAGGCGGCCAATTCCAGCAGTAAAGTACTCTATTCCACCATGTCTCGAAGGGGCTCTCCGTCTTTTTCGCCTCAGAGTTTGTACTTAGTGGCTTTGGACATGGGCCTGGTCATAAAGATGTATCGCTACAGTACTTAGAATCTCGAGGTTTGCAAGGTCTGCTGAGAGATTTATCTTAGGAAAATGTGGGGCTAGCAATCAATGGACTTCCGACTGTTCCTCTTCTCTAGAAATCATCCAAAGTTTCGAGGAGCACTTTTTGCGCTCAGAGACCAGATGTCAAGAGGAGGTCCCCTTTTGTCCCATCATGTCCTAGGTTTTCTTTGGACTGCAGGCAGACAGGGTTCTTGAGCTACGGCTTGTTGAAATTGATTTTTTTGGGAACTGTATGAGATATTTGTACATCTAAGCTGTTTAAAATTTCTATCTAAAGTCATCACTTAAGTTAAATGCGTACGGAAAAAATGTACGAGTCTGTACGAGTCTGAAAGCTCAGGACAATAAACACAGTGTTCCGGTGCTCGACTTTTCTTCTTCTTCACTTATCTTCATGATAGGTCTTTGGATGAATTGCATTTGTTCTTACATTTCTTGCAGAGTAGGTTCTTTTGGGACACTTATGCAGTCATAGATGTCGAAAAACAGTTTCTTTGGCGCCGTCTCTGTTGTTTCCGTAGAGCTCTGCTCATCAGAATAGTGGTGGAATCATTGGTTTTTAGTGTTTTGCGGGCGATCAGGGCCAAACTTCCGGTAGTGCCCATTTTTGTTGGTTCAAGGTAGACAGTAACGAGACAGTTTTAAAATCTGCCAGCTGAGTTACGTATCGCGGCTCGTAAGAGCGAAATCACAGACATATTTCACCCTATGGTGAAAGGGTGTTAACCAATCGGGTTACGTGACCTGACTATCCCGTTGTACCCTGGAGCCCCGCAGACAGTCGACTATGAACCAGTAATATATGCAGGGAAGGGAGTACCTAAAATGACAAGGAAGTCGCCTAGAGTTGGGCCTGACTGACTGGTGACGACCAATAAGCCAGAAATTGTCCCCTCAGACGCTCTTTACTGTCATTTTCAATAACTTCGGTCTCCGCCATCCGAGCGTGCATTTGTAGCTCGACTTCGACTTCAGTGCACTAGCTCTCTCCAGACCGAAACTGCTTGGCTGTTGGGGTAGGATTCTCACCAGTGGTCAACCAAATGCCGCTACCGTTTGGAAAAGGACATCTTACAGGTTTTTGTTTTGACGAAAACCCAGATTTTTACCACAAGTTATTTTGGAGTCGCGTACTTAATATTTCAATCCCGCCCAATCAAAATCGCATTTGCAACTAATGAGGCTTGGGTGTATGAGTGCGAGCTCATTACCTCCATGTTCACGGCTTTTGCATAGCAGACGATCCTACCACACCAAAACAACCATTTGTCCTCCCCTTAAGAAGACGAAGTCAATGGATACATGCTGCCACCAGCTGTACCGGTTATTAAATAGCTGATGATTGAATCGTCGCAATTTTGCCCTCCCGAATATTGACAGGACTATTTTGGCCAAGTTTGCCTGAAAACTACTGGTTCCATTCTTTCGAAAGTTGATCCTATTTTCATCGCTCAGTGGGGCCTCCTTCTCTTAATTTGTCCATGTGCTTTTCTGTCATTCAGGCAACTCCGTGGTGGTTGGTGGATATGTACCTCAAAAATCCTCTACCACTACCGGTCAATTCAAATCCGGGCATGGTTTTTCCTCGACATCACTTCATCAGCGCTCGACAACAGCTCAGGTAATGCCCACTGCACGCCGTAAACTCAGTTTTGATGCGTATTGGTGCCGGGGCTTGTTATAACTGGCCGAAAAGCGTATCGTAAAGCTCCACGGAACTACTCTTTACTCATCAATCTATCGTTAATAAATGCAGGTAGGCTGTTCTATTATAAACCTACTGGACACACTGTGTGCAGTTGACGGTCGAAGGCGGTCTACTTATTGTAGCGGCGTAGGCAGTGTCTTGCAGCAGTGACCACACGCCGACTGATTGGCCTGTTAACGATGTATCTTGGAGGCTCCTTCCTTGCGAGCCACACACATCCTCCAAGACTGGTTTCCGGCGGTCTCCTCAGCAAAATAAGCCTCTTAAAACGACTTCTCAGAGCTCTGGACTGAGACGAGGTGGTACCATGCGTGCAGGACCGTTTGGCCTTGTTTAGTTTCCGAGGAAATTGGTGCACGAACTTGAAGTAAATCCTTCAGAACAGACCTTTTTTAGACTCGGTCCGAGAGCTGATATGAATATTCGAGCTGAAATTCATCACCTACTGCGGAATAACCGCGTAATATCTACAAACCGCCAACAGGCAGCCAGCAGTATAAAATTATGTGATTATTTACCACGCTGACAGCACAAGTAATGACTAAAGGCCCGTGGTACCTAGTACAATATGCTATCAGTGCGGTAAATAATCACATACAGTAGATGTACCAACTCGTGTAATGTTAAATGAAATTCTGAAGTAGCTTTTCGAAACGAAAAGATTACTTAAGTAGGGTTTCAATACTAATTACCATGCAGTATAATCCCATAATAATTCAGTTACTTCAAGATACCTGCTTTTGAATGAACTTCCTTTTAGCCGTCTGCAAAAACTATACACTGTAAAAAATGACTACTTAAGTAGCGTGAATTTTTCCCATTTATCTGTGATCCCCTTATAAATCCAAATATATTTCATAGAAAACATGCATGAAAATATTCATTCTTACACTCATATGAAAGAAAATTACATCTTCTTTAAATTTATTTCTGAAAAAGTTTATAATTCGGTTTTACAAAAGTTTCTAATTATGAGATTCTTAAGGCTGTAAAATGCCCGCTCATAAAACGTCCTGCCCTAGCATTTACTATGATTGCATGTGAAGTTTACAATATGGCTGAAATCCACTGTTAAATTTCATGAACCCATATCTAGTCGCCTCTTAATACTGTATAGAAATGTATGATTTTTCGTGCACACAAAGTTTACGGCTTGTAGTTTCGAAACCCTGACTGCAAAGTTAACGGCAGTCGAGTTCAAAATTAGTCGGGAATTATATGAGTGTTTAAAACTAATTTTTACTCTTCTGTCAAGCATAAAATTTAAAGGAGACGTAATTTTCTTCCAAATGAGTAAAATAATGAATACTTTCAAGCATGTTTTCCATGCTGCATGGTGATTAGTGTAGCAACCCTACTTAAGTTGTCTTTCCGAGTCGAAAACGCATTTCAGAATTTCGGTTAAAATTTCATGAGTTAGCACGTCTACTCTAGTTGTAAAAAACTGGCTGCCTCTTGGCACGTTTTGAATATTGCGCGGTTATTTCGCTGTAGGTAATGAATTTCAGCTCAAATATTAACATCAACTTTTGAACCAAGTCTAAAAAGGTCTGTTCAGAAGGACTTACTCCAAGTTCGCGCATTACTTTCCTCGGAAATCAAACAAGACAGGATGAAGACTGGAGTTCATATTACCGGAAAACACATGGGAACACTGAAGGACCCACTGATGAGCCAAACTCCTCGCAGCTGCTTCAGGCAGCGGCACAAGACCAGCAAAGCACGCGTGTCCGGGCTTTTAGCCACTACCTGTGCTGTGTTCATTTAATTTTCTCTCTGTAAAGAGGTGTCCTCTTACGATAGGTGGAACCACAACTTTGGTTTCAGACTTCGCACATTCCCACCATAATCTCCCCCTGTTTAGGCAATAGCCACACGAACAGGTTTTTGCTGTAGACTTTTTCGCATGTGATTGTCTGCACAACCGACGTTTCGACTGTTATTGTCGACGAATGCGCCCCAGAGCAGAATGGACTTAAAGACTGTAACTTGCGTGGGAGTTAGTTAATAGTGACAATAGAATTGCATAGCATCTAAAGCACTCTCTCTCTCTGCGCAAGCAGTCGTCTTATGACGGTCGAATTGCATGACCAACCAGAGATTTTTTACCCATACTCACGTCCTTTGCTTTTTTGAAGGCTACTAATGCTGCCAACAGGGCCCACATTACAGTCAAGACATGAGTGCATGTGGCAGTTTCGTTCTCCTGCATGGGCTCCCAGGTTTGGATAAGGGATAAATTTACAATCTTTTAAACCTTCAATATTAAAAGAACCGAGTTCAATAAGTGTCCAGGCACCATCAAACTAGGTGAGGATGTGTAAATTTTAGCAGCCAAATGGCCTTTTTTCATCAGTTTTACTTCATTCTTCTCGAGGCAGGATGTAGGTGTATTTGGTGTATATGCGCGAAGTGTTAAACAGATAAATATTGTTTTCAGTTCAAGCATTTCCTTGCGCTCGTTGTATATTTATCTACACCACGTCATTTGATACTAAATCGAGTGCTCAAATAGCCAGGGAGGGCTAGAAACGAGAGTTATCGCTTCAGTTAGTTCATTCGGTAGACGTTTTGGCAGATTTTCACAATACATCCGACCCAGTTATAAAAACAAACTCGGTAACCTCGGTGGTGGCCGAAGCGACGACACCAAGTGTAAGACCTCTGTACAACTACCACCCTAACCGCCTGAACAATGAGGCCCTGGTCGGAGATCTTTTAATCGCATCAGGTTCATGTTATATGTCAAACCTATTGCAGCATATGGAATCCGCCAATTGTGATACATTAAGCTGACTGCCCAAACAGGATTGCCCATGCAATCAATTCCGAACCCACCCGATGAATATCAGGCCTTACTTAACTAATGGATGCTTTCGGTATGTTTGAACAATTCATCTGACCAAATTGTAAAACAATTGACGGGCCCAGTGGAGAGCAGGGGCAAGGCTTGTGCACAGCCAACGCTCTTACTACCTGAACTACGATGGCCCGACTGGAACCGTGAATTTAATGACATTTGAGTCAGGTTACCCTTCCAACCTGCTGATCTCTTCTGCCTCCAACTGAACAGTTTTACAACCGACAGAAAGGTTCCTGCCAGATTTGAGCGTAAAAGACTTTGAGTAGGACGAATGGACACGCCAAACGAGCCTGAAGTCAAAATTTACCGTATCAGTTTGCTCACTGTGCGAATGTTCTCCGCTCGTGCTAAGCTACCTCTCAGGTTACTGAAACGTCCTCTGCCGAACTTCATGTACGTCCACATTTGAGTCTGGTAACATCTGTTCAGCCCGGCAATCGAATGCAAATTTTTCTTATTCCATTCGGGGCCCATGACGACAAATTGGCATTTTTATAAAAACCGCTCTTGGAGCAATTTCCAGTGCAGGCTTAAAAAGGTTTGGAACTAACCCCCCCCCCCTCCCCCTCGATTCTCAGTCGTCGCTGCATCGTCTGCGTGCTGAGACGGTTGTATTGACGGCTGACGCAAAAATGAACTATCGGACGTATGTATAGTTACGTGTGAGTTTATGTAGACTGGTTCGTTACTAGGTCATTTTCCACGCCAAAAGTAGCATGACTGAGCATGGGAATGCTGTAGAGCCAGTGAGCCGGTCGACGTTACCTTTACTTACAACTCAAGCGCAAGCCCCCCTCTCGGTCTTAAATAAAACTGGTACAGGCTCTTCACACGGCAGCCACTTGACCGTTTTTGGGGATACTTATTTGCGTAAAAATAATCATCTCAACCGTTAATTTTTTGTCTGCTTTTTAACTTTAAAATATTTCAAACCATTTGGGGGTAACGCGCGAGCCAAAAGACAACCAGTTCCGATTCTTCAAATTAATATCCTCTAAACCAGCAGTGATTCTTTCCCCGGCATGCTTTTAGCAGATATTAGCGAATAAGACAATTTTACAAAACCGTAGATCATCGCCTGGTAAAGAGACTGCCCACTGCGAAATTAGATTATAAAAAAAATAGTTAAGTAACAGCACAAAATATCTCGTAAGTATTTTGTCCCTTTTTATATGACTTAAACTCTTCGGGATTTTGTCAGATTTGGCTGATACAGTAGGTGGGCTAACTCCTGAAATGCGTTAACGTTTCGAAAGACTAATCATGCAGGGTTGTAAAAATAAGCAGCATGCAGCATAATTCTATAATAATTCAGTCACCTCTGGATGCCGGCTTTCGAAAGAACTTCTTTCCGGCTGCATGCCAAAACTATACCCTGTAAAAAATGACCACTCAAGCAGCATAAATTCTTCTAATTGGTTTTCGATGCCCTTAAAAATTCAATTATACTTCGTGGAAAATGCATAAAAATATTTATTCCTTTTCTTATTCGGTAAAAAATAAGTCTTTCTCCAACTTCATACTCGAAGGAAGAGTATAATTTGGTTTTTAAAGTTTCTAATTGTCAGATTTTTTAATACCGTGAAATTGCCTTTCATAAAATATCATGCCTCTGAATTTACGAATGTGACTTGTAAAGTTAACGATCTGACTCAAATCCGCTGCTAAATTTAACGAAGGCCATTTGGTCTCCTCTTAATACCGTAGAGAAATGTATGGTTTTCCGCACACAGAACATATACGGCTTATGGTTTGGGAACCCTGAATGCAAGTGTAACGTCGGGTCGAGTTCAAAGTTATTCGGAAATTGGAAAACTTTTTTAAAACCGAATTATACTCTTCCTTCAAGCATAAAATTGGCATAAGACGTAATTTTCTACCGAATGAGTGAATGAATATTTTGTGCATGTTTTCCATGAAATATAGTTGAATTTTTAAAGGCATCGAAAACCAATGAGAAAAATTCATGCTACGTAAGTAGTCATTTTTTCCGGAGTGCAGTTTGTGCATACAGCCGAAATGAATTTCTTTCATAAGCCGGCATCCTGAGGTAACAGAAATATTACAGAATTATGGTGCATGATGGTTAGTTTTACAACCCTCCTTAATTAATCTTTTCGAAACGAAAACGCATTTCGGAATTCTGGCCGAAATTTCATGAAATATCCCACCTACTGTAGCTGATAATGGTCGCCTCGGAATGCTGGAAGACCTCTAACTCGCAGAATACTCAATTACAGTAAAAGCCCAAAATTCGAGGGGGAGGGTTACATTTCTAGACCCCCCAATGTACATACTGCACGTAAATGTACGCCCACTGTCCACCGTTTCGTATTCGTCTGCGTCTTGTCTGAGACGCTGAATACTTGTGAGCGCATTTTCTATGGGATAGTGAATGCCGTGCGAATTTTAAGTGTTAAATTCCAAGATAGAATATACGCGAATTCATAAAGCTGCAGATTCAGAAGCGCAAATTTACGGTGTATTACTGTATTTGAAGGGAAGTGCGCTCAATAGCGAACCAGGGTTTTTTTGCCCTAATTTATGCTTCCTACACAAGCCCACTGTCAAAAATATCGGAGAATAGAAAGAGGGCAAAAGTCTGCTGTATCGATTGGATGTGTCTGCTATGTTGTCAGAGCACCGTTAAATGACGGGAATCGTTCGAATCCTCAGTGGTCACGAATTCGGTCCCAGTCTTAGCAAGCAACGTGATGATCAGCTAACCTTTCTGTATCCTACAACGAAGCGGTGTTATTCCATCCACCCTCGCCCCCCCCCTCCCCCAATAAGTGGTTATTACGCCCACGCAGCGTCTTGAAGCCCCTGAATCCTACCTCGACCGGCCAATCAACAGGCCGGTGAAGCAACCGCATCTTCCACAGACTGCTGCATCCTCTATCTGATCATGGCATTGAGGAAACGGTTTAACAGGCACCTGAAACGGCAAACTAACAGAGAGAGAGAGAGAAATGCTTTATTTTGAAAATAACTTTCAAAACTTTCAGCAAAAACGGTTCTCCAGTACACAGTGATTATCATAGAGATTAACAGGTTTTGGACAGACAGGTGGACATGATTATATATGAAGAAAAAGGGACTTTAAGGTGCAAGATCGAGTTTTAGTTTTTGTTTTTCAACATCTTTGTAGGTGAGATACTGGGCTAGAAATGGCAGTATGGCATTCCGATAGGCCGAAGTGCGGCAAGGGATGTGGCGGAAGCATCGACGCATGGGGCGTAAGGATTTCGCAGCCATTAACTCATTATGAAGGGGATGGACGGTGTCATTCAGAATTCGGTCAGCGAATTGCTCCACCGAGTTGAAGTGTCGCTGCACGATGATATCAACTGAAATATGATAGGAAACATCAGCAGCAGAGGCGAGCATTCGAATGACACGTTTAAAAATAATTAGATCTTTTTTAAGTAAAGCTGGAAAAGTAACTGGAGAACAATAAAGAATGAGTGGAAGAATACAGCCATCTATGAATCGCCAGATTAAGGACTGGGGTGTGTGATATGAACGTAGAGGACGAATGTAATAAACGAGTTTTTGAATTTTTGTTAAAAGGGTTTCCATATGAAGAGAGAAAAAGAGATTTGAGGATAAAGTAACACCTAGAGCTCTGTTTCATCGATTTATCATGGTGCATATAAGTTACCATTCGGAAAGGACCTTTTTACGTATATGAGCCGGTTTGCCAACTTAAAACTTGGCAGTTTCTCCTGAAGTTGCAAAGATGGTCATCAACTGCAGACATGTCAACGAGCAATGTAGCCGATCATTTGTCGGACATTTTCGCCAAAGTTGATCGTACTTTCTTTGCGAGTAATCAGGACGCAGGCCTGCCCCCAACGCCGCAATTGACCAAAAAACTGCCTTTAGGATTTGCGATAATTGCAGTGCTAGCCTTCAGATCTAATTTGCAGTCTGGCCAAGCTCAACTTCAACCAGAGCGGGCAAAAGTAGTCGTTTTCCTACGTTTGTCAAACCTCCAATTAGTCTGTTTTAACCGCCTTGCCTGGCATGCACAGAAGTGATCTGGACTGCATGAAAATGTTTTCGAGGCTTGTAATGAGTGCTTGAGCGAACAATTCCTCAGAGCTATAAAACGAGACACATACTTGTGCGGAAGGCAACCACGGGTACTTCTGCCTAAGCATTAACCATGAAAGTAAAACAAATGATATTATTTATTCGACACAGTTTGAGTCTTCATCTCACGATCTGATGCAGCTAATGATCGATGCTCAAAAGAAACGAGCAGTCAGAGAGAGGGAAAATGAGCATGCTCACGGTTAGAACGCGAGATTGGGAAACTCTGGAATGCGAATCTCGAAACCAGCTGAAGTATGGCACTCTAACCATTCTGTAACAGGTCTATGATTTGACTTTTGCGACGAAGACAGTTTAGCTCGGTTCGGCTCCTAGTCACCATTTCAAATGGGGGTGAGTGCAACTGTGCCAAGTTCTTTCGGAAAGGAATGAGCTATTGTGCGCATTTGGAGGACTCTCTTCAGCTCACTATCAGATGAGTAGGTCACGTCCAGAAACAGTCCAGCTTTCAACTGTAAACAAACATCACGCATCGGCCAGATCGGTCACCTGCGGATCCATCGCACTGAGACTGACGAACCAATGCCAGTAGCGTCAATATATGCTCGTCGCAGTCATCTCAACGATTCGCACTGCCCATGTACATTCGCCCACCGCATGAGCTTATTCGACCATATGCGTTTCCATGAAAACCCACGGTGAAACATTGCAGACCAAACCCCATCACCACACACCTTATAACCACCTCATATACGAACCCACACTGCATCACCTACGACAGGCACGGAGTAGGCACTACGTATACAGTAGGGGAGCTAATTCGTGAAATGTAAACCGAAATTCCGAAATGCGTTTTCGTTTCGAAAAGATTAATTAAAAAGGGTTGTAAAACTAGTCAGCCGGCAACATAATTCTATAATATTTCGGCTACCTCAGGATGCCTGCTTTCGAATGAACTTCCTTCCGGCTGCATGGAAAAACTACACTCTGTAAAAAATGACAACATAAGTAACATGAATTTTTCTCAGTGATTTTCGGTGTCCCTGAAGGTTCACTTATATTTCCTGGAAAATATGCATAAAATATTCATTCTTTCGCTCATTTGGCAGGCAATTACGTCTGCTTCCATGCCTATACTCGAAGGAAGGGTATAATTCGGTTTTCAAAAACTAGTCTAATTCCCGAATACTGTTGAAGCCGCTCTGCCATCACACCTGAATTCAGTGTCTCCAAACTACAAGCCATGTATTTTTCGCGTACGGAAAACCGCACATTTCTCTAAGGTATTGAGAAGGGACCATATGGGGTTCATAAGATTTAGCATTCGATTTGACCCATATTGTTAACTTTACAAGCCACATTGGTAAATACAGAGACACGACGATTTATGAACGGCCACTTCACGGTATTTAAAAATCCCACGATAAGAAACCTTTTTAAAAGCGAATGATGCCCCTCCTTCGAGTATAAAATTAGAAGAAGACTTAATTATCTACTGAATGAACAAAAGAATGAATAATTTTGTGCATGTTGTCCATGAAATATAATTGGACTTTCTGGGTCATCGAAAATCAGGGAGAAAAATTCATGCTACTTATATAGTCATTTTTTGTGAAGTATAGATTTTGCATGCAGCCAGAAGGAAGTTCTTTCGAATGCCGCATCCTGAAGTAACTGCTGACTTTCCTGAGTTACCCACCTACTGTATAAGTAGAATCGTGTTGTTTGAAGCAACCTGGCACCTAAGTAATTCGTGTGTGACATACCTAAATAAGCTCCAGCAGCTCTATAAATTACTGCGGACAACCACGGCACCAGATGACTGACAGGCTCGGACGGCCAACTGGTGCATTTGAGAGTGAGGTCAATCCTGGGGAATTCAACCCCCACGGCATATCTCTACGCCCGTTCCTATAATGAGTTTGACGCGATAAACGTCATGACTTGGAAGGCCACCAGCTGACGGGATAACTCGATCCTCTCGGGACACATTGCCGCTTTCTTAATGTGGTTTCTATGGCACTCCCACCAACCTGGCGTCTGGGGGAGGACTACTTCGAAAACTCGGCCCATGTCGTGTGCGGCACGCGTAGATGGGCTGTCTGGCGTTTTCAGTCACTGCGTCCGATCTCAAACCTGGTCGTCCTGATTCTGCCTTGCCAGCGGGCCCAGGTGGATGAGGGAGGAGGGCTTGCGATATTGCGCAAATCTGCTACCAAGAGAGGCTAAATAACGTACAAGTCACTGTGACTGCGCCCACCTTCCAGGGGAACGCACGGTGGTCGAACTGTCGAGAATGGCAACCTGGGATATACAGTAGGTGGCCTAACTCATGTAATGTCAACAGAAATTACCAAAATGTGTTTCCGTTTCGAAAAGATTAATTAGGTAGAGTTGTAAAATCAATCATCTTGCAGCATAACTCTATAATAATTCTGTTACCACAGGACGCCGGCTTTTGAACAAACTTCGATTTGGCTGCATCCAAAAACCACACTCCGTAAAAAATGACTACTTGAATAACATGCATTTTTCACTGATTTTCAATGTCTTCAAAAATTCAATTATGTTGCATGGGAAACATGCATAAAATGTTCATTCTTTTTCTCATTCAGTAGACAATTACATCTTATTTCAATTTTACACTCGAAGGAGGGACATAATTCGGTTTTAAAAAAGTTTCCAATTGTGGCACTTTTAAATACCGTGAAATGGCCCTTCATAAAATGTCATGCCTCTGCATTTACCAATGTGGCTTGTAAAGTTACCAATCTGTCTCAAATCCACTGCTTAATTTTATAAACCCTATATGGTCCTCCTTTATTACCGTAGAGAAACTATGGTTTTCCGCACGGGAAATTATGCGGCTGATAGTTTGGGAACACTGAATGCAGGTGTAACGGCAGGTCGGGTTCAAAATTATTCGGGAATGGGGAAAGATTTATAAAACCAAATTATACACTTCCTTCCACTGAATGAGCAAAAGAATGAATATTTTTGTTTATGTTTTCCATGAAATGTAATTGAATCTTTAAGGACATCGAAAACCAATGAAAAAAATGCATGCTACATAAGTAGTCATTTTTTATGGAGTATAGTTTTTGGATGCAGCCAAAAAGAAGTTTGTTCGAAGGCCGGCGTCCTGACCTAACTGAATTATTATAAAATTATGCTGCATAATGATTGGTATTGCAACACTACTTAACTAATCTTTTCGAAACGGAAACGCATTTCGGAATTTTTGTTGACATTTTATGATTTAGCCCACTTACTGTACGTTCTCGTGCTCTCACCATCAGATGATGTTCATGTATATGGTAGAAGCATATATGCCACGGTACGTTACATATCACAACTGGTACATGGCATTTTCATGACTTCCTTTCTGTTTTGATAGCCAACCATGTCATTTTGGCATATAAGCTTAGCGCGCTATTATTTTGCTGGTGGTTCTTCCGACAAGAGTTGGCCAGTGACTGACTTTGGCGTCTGTGTGGCCATATCCCTGGAAATGTTTATTCTCTGGATGTTTGTTGTCGAATATGTCGAAGTTTTAAAGAGACTGCCTTAGAGCGGTGCCTTATGTCTGTTCAATAACTATCGTCATCAGCACGGGGGAATTCGACTTGATGCAGTAAACGATGATAGAGCCTCGCCACGCCAGTCTCCCTTGTCTTGGTCGGAAACGCTCTTCTGACTATATTACGCGCCGCCATGCGACTGTCAGCGCGCCTCTACACTGAGCCCCAAGGCACAACAAGACGAGTGGGTCCCGTAACGCGACCGATGGGCGTCCCTCTACCAATGGAAAATATTATCCCATCGGTTCCGACTTTGGCGCCTTCTAGTTTGCCTGGGAATTATTTCGCTTCTCCAGTGGCGGTTTTGGAATTCTTCATCAGCATCTGGATTTAATGACAAAGCCGGTTATACATTCTGGCGCTCGGTAAGACGACTGAAGAGATTATATCGGTCAGAGTGGGATGCCAGTTTTATGGGTTCTAGGAAGCCATGCAATTTGACGTCATTGGTGCCATGCATTCAGATATGACCTGCCTCGAGAGGTTTGTTAATTTGGATTCTCTAGGACAAGTACAGAAAGGAGCAATCAGTTACCGCTGGATGAGTGGACATAATAAAGGTGCAATGGCGTAGACTGCAGCTACCCATGAAATCCTTTGCTATACGCGGTTAAAATGACAACTGTTTTGAACGCTGCCCATATGACCGAAGGCGAGCAGGAGAACTGGTCTCGAAAGGAGCATGGTAACCTTTTTCCTTCTTGAAGGAAGTGGACGCATACATAAATACTCTGGATGGTATAATAACCGTTACCCCCTTATCCTGGATATTTTAAGGAGTTGAGTACATAAAGCAAAAAACTACCAAAATTCAGTCGTTCTGTCCGAACGAACGAAATTTGCTACAGTAATCAAAAGTTGGCGAGATGATAACAATATCACCTTTATACGCATATATTACTTCGAAAAATTCCATTGATTTCTCGCAGCAGTCCAATGTGTTTTATGCTTGTTATGACGCGGGAGAGGGTAGGACAGGAAGAGAAAGGGTTCGAAGGAGAAGCACTTTCTTGCGGACTCGAGGGGGGTTACAACTCGTAAGAAAGATGCGCTATTTATAGTGGCTCCTGTGCGTTCTAGAACATTCCGTCCAATGACGTGTGCGCGATAGCCCCCCGGTGGAGACGTTCGACCAGCCATTGATTTGGGCCGCACACGTGCAAAGCCACCACACGTGCTCGGCGCTGCAGTGCACGCCGGTTGGCCGTCTAACTTTATGCGTCCCGCGCCGCCGGCTTGGTCCCCTGTTCAGCGCCTTAGGCCGTGAATCTACGCCGCCTGCACTCTCCATGACAATGTTTTGCATCTGACTGGTGGCCTTCTGAATCGTGAGTGACATACAGCTGGTGCGGATGATCCATTTTCGAACAACTTTTCATCTTAAGTAGAAATGAACACCAGTAAGTGAGCTCCCCTGCCACAGAATCCATTTTCTCCGACGTGAGATCATTCGGAGTAGACTCTGTCAGAGTAATTTAGAAGCAAATACTACTTGGAGCATGTTTTTCGGCAGCACCTAAGGCAGAGAGGCTATCGATGGCTTCCTAACTCTTGTCCCTAGCGCACTTTCCTTTGCCCAAACTGAATTTCCCACTTTTCTTTTTCCAGATTTGCGGCCCAGCTGCTTTCGGGTATACTGGACTACAAAACTATCCTGGACACGTAAGTGAGAAAAATTTTCTCCCTCTCCGCACCTTTTGCGGTAATCCCGACTGAATGCCAGAAGAACGGCAGTACTGGATCTCCCCCAGACCCTTGCTGACCTTTCATGTTTATCCGCGTTATCTGCCGCACAAATCGCTGACCGAATCTATTTTTGCACGGAGTTCGTTTTACATGCTACCTTAACGCACTCATGTCATCGATTTTGACCAATCACCCGCATACTGCAGTCGCTGTCTCCGATGAATAAGGCAAAGGAGGCAAACGAAGTCTAGGCGGAATAAGAGTTTCGCCGGGCACGATTTTAACCTCCACCCTCCTCAAGAAACATCTGCATTTACCACTTTCGCAACAGCACGCGCTGTTTCAGGAGTGCTTCCCACACCAAGCCGAGCTGGTTGTGCTGAAACACGCAATTTCGACGTAAATTGGACGTGATGATTTGAGTCCTTGTCGTCATCCTCCTCTTTGCCCTCCCCCAGTCTGCGACGACTTTAACTTCTTCCCTCACGCGATGCGTGCCCCCTCCTCCTCGCGGACAAGGCAGCACAGGCAAAGGAAGGGGTCGCTTCCATCTGGTGGGTAGATGGTGGGCCGAAGCGTCAGCCGAAATATGGCAAAACGGTGGGGTTTTGAAAGAATCCGTCACTCCCACCGTCTTCCCGCTATCCCCCCCCCTCACCAGGTCCTCCTCGTCTCTTTCTTTTCAGGCCTGAACACTTGAAAGACATAAAATTTTGTCTACATCAGTGGATAGTTGTGCAATCCGGTTTCTCGGGAGCTATAGCCTTTGGAGGCTGTCGGCCTGTTGCGCGTCTGTGAGGCGCCAGTGCGTCCCTTGGTGTGTGTGTGTGTGTGTGTGTGTGTGAACGACTAAAATTAGACGTCAGAAGTGTTCGCGCGCACATCCAGTTGCTTTCGATGGTCAAAAATCAACCCACGGTCTGATACATGAGCTCGCGATTGCTCGCATAAGTAATCCAGATAGGACCTGAGAGAATATGTAATATCAGATTCAGAAGCCTCTACATCAGAGCGATGCTTGAATTGTGGTATAGTGACATTTGAATGGGATCACGACTTCTGAGGCGGACGCCTACGCTTTTATTTGGTGCACCGCAAATAGCTGGTCTAAAGATAAATGCAGTCGGGGTAACAATCGGGAGATGGCACCCAAAAAAATCCGTTACCTGGAAATACTACCTTTAACAGTGAACTCAAATGCCTTCACGTTATATCAGCGGTTGCAGGCCCACTTTCACGTACTCTTTTGATTTTTTGCGACGGCCTAACATGGGTTGGCCGAACGAACATCGCAGGAGGTTACATGGACGATGGTCGCTGTTACTCAACCTTCCACATCGTTATACACGTACACCTGAATATTCGGCATACATTCGTATTATGGCAGTTTATCACAAAACAGCATCACTTTTAAATAGGATAAGTCTGCACAACATGGGACAGGAACAGTTCGCAGGCATCTGTCAAAGGCAGGGCATTGAGGCCAAACCAAAGACGATACTGTACTTCGTCTATTTGAGTCCACACAGCTTGACCACATACTAGGCCTCCCTCGTGGAGTTTCCTTTTCAGTCTACTCCAGTATGCCTCAATGGCATTGGTGTGCCGTCCGGTGGTAGGGTCCTTGAAGTTCTTTGAGTGCTTAACAGAGAAATGTAGATAACCTTCTGAGGGAAGACGATTATACACCTTCCACTCGTTCGTTATCACTATACTGTCTTTCTCGACCCATTTTATAATGACGGAACGGAGAGCGGACCAACTTCGATCATACACCTGTTCACATAAGGCTTTCCGTTGGCTAATATCGTACATAACGACCAGCTACCACCCATAAAACCCCTATTACTACCTGTCCCGTAAGACAGGCTGCTTTGGTTAGGCTGATTTTTTGGGTGCCATCTCCCGATTGTTACCGCAGTCGGCGCTTACTTACGAAGTTGATTAGAATATGTCTTCTGTCTGTTTCGGAAACTGTGCCACTAGTCCTCTGAGCATTGTTCAGACCGCAGTGACGCCACCTCTGTACGGTCTCTCAGACTGAAGTTTGCGCAGTCAGGCACGGATATGTGTACCTACTCCCCCCCCTCTGGCGTAAGACCATCTGTAATACGGGAATGACGATAATAGGGGTCTTTTAGTAGATGAAGTGGAGCGTCCTTAAATATATGCATGTATAAGTAGGAGGAAATCGTATTTGCTCTGCACGCCTGTTTTAATGCATTAGAAACACTTTATTGCAAGGTAGTTAAGGGAGATACACATCCGTCCTCCAACGTCTGCGTATCCCCGCTCCCCCCTCCTCGCCCCAGGTTGTTAGCTGTTTCAGAATTCAGAGGCCAACAGGGTAAGACACGGGCATGGTTACTCCCCAACCGCAAAATAAGTGACCTTGTGCAAAATTCCAGAAAGAATAAGTATCCCGCGCCGGCAGTTTTATGGCACCTGGTTCCCTGCCGGTAGATGCGCTCGCGTTCCCACTGGATATACGGGTCATGAGTATGGTTAACCAGTCATCCTTCTCTTTCTGACCCATTGTTGTGCTGTTGTTCGGTAGAATCCTGGTCAAGTGTTTGTTGTAAACCAGGAGGTGTGGTGGTACGTCTAGGCGCGGGTCCGGCCATGCTAGCCACCTGCGCCTTCCGGTCTTCCTTACTCTGTCTTGATACCGCACCCAGATAGGGGAGGAGGAGGGAGTGCAGCAGATGCTGCTAAAGTCCACTCTTACTATAAACTAGTCCACGCCCCAGTCACCTTCCCTGCCCTAACCCTGCTGTGGGACACTCGGCCAGACAACGTCGGGCACGACGGGCGGACTTCCAGAAGTTGGCGCAACATCCTCAAAATAAGGGGTGGGGTTCCTGTGTCTTGCCGCGAACAGTGTTCAGCGATTTACCAAATGCTCCTCTGGCAGTTCAGAACTCTATGTGCTAAATATGGTCCCTAGAGCCGATTTTTGCCTCGATAAAAATAGAGAAGAACTGGTAACTACAGCGTAATTGATAGACGAATCGACTTGGGATGCTCTCAGTCGTGGTAAGAAATAAAATTATCTTGTTATTACAAGTCAAATTACGAGTAAATTCCTCGGGGTGGATGATATTGATGACCCGAAGGTGCTTAGAAGTCTATAGGTCCCCTTTTATCTTCGTTCTGGCCTAGACCAGTGGAATTACAACTCTCTTATCCTCAGATGTTAACTTTGCCGAGGTAGATCCGTCATCTATTTAGATCCATGCCTGAGACCTATCAAACAGAAGCGACAGTAAATATTGTTTCTCCCCATGTTCCAAACTTATGGTTTTTAACCCTGCCACTGACTGCCTTTGCGCAGTGAAAAACTCGCAGAAATTTTTGAAAATCATACGGGCAATCAAGCCGCACACTTGCACTCCCAACAAGATGTGAACGCCCAGTGTATTCATCTTTCTCACCTCACTCTCCCCTCATTATCTTCCATCTGCCAATTCTTTGACTTCCAAAATCCTTTTGACGTTGTGGACTCCCCTGGACCCTTGCAGACGATCACTCCCAATCGATCGTGTGTCCCACAACCGAAAGGGACAACCACTGTGCATGGAACAGTACTACCGTCTCTTCACCTCCTATCGCTACCCGGGAGCCAGGCGAGACGATACAGTGACAAGGGACATGTCTGAATTGGCGGATTCTGCGCACGCAATCGTTGTTTGCAACGATCAGGTGAGGTGTAGAGCCATCCCGCACACTCAACCCTCCTCTTACAATTGCATCTACAAGCAGACAGCCAGGCAACCTCCTGTCTGGGGGTGCGACATACCATCTGAGTCACCAGGTCTGCCTTCGTCCACTATTAAACTCCTTCTGGACCAACCAAATGGGGAGATCTCGACGAATCGAAACATCAGCGGAAAGAAAGTAGTCTAGTAGTACACTTACAGGAAAAGCAATCCAAGGGCGATCAACGAGGCGTTCTCTGACTTTGCCCTGATGTGGATGTAAAACTTTAGCCATGTCAAATACCATCAAATGACTGTACAGTAGGTGGGCTAACTCATGAAGTGTCAACCGAAATTCCGAAATGCGTTTTCGTCTCGAAAAGACTAATTAAGTAGGGCTGTAAAACTAGTCAGTCTGCAATATAATTCTTTAAAATTTCGGTTACCTCAGGATGCCGGCTTTCGAACGAACTTCCTTCCGACTACATGCACAAACTACACTCCGTAAAAAATGACTACTTATCTAGCATTAATTTTTTTCATTGATTGTCGATGCCCCTAAATGTCCACTTATTTTTCATGGAAAACATACATAAACATATTCATTCTTTCGCTCATTCGGATGACAATTTCGTCTTCTTCTAATCTTATACTCGAAGGAAAGGTATGATTCTGTTTTTAAAATTTTTTCCAATTCCCGAATAAACTTGAACCCGCTCTACCGTTGCATTTGGATTCAGGGTTTCAAAACTACAAGCCGCATATTTTCCGCGTACGGAAAACCCCACATTTCTCTACGGCAACAAAGGGGAACCATATAGGTTTCATAAAATTAAGCAGTGGATTTGATCCCTATTGTTAACTTTACAAGCCACATTGGTAAATGCAGAGATATGACGATTTATGAAGGGCCATTTCACAGTATTTAAATATGCCACAATTAGAAACTTTTTTAAAATTGAATTATGTCCCTCTTTCGAGTGTCGAATTAGACCAAGACGCCGTTATCACCGAAAGAGTAAATGAATGAATATTTTTATGCATGTTTTCCATGAGATATAATTGGACTTATAGGGGCATCGAAAATAAATGAGAAAAAATAATGCTAGATAAGTAGTCATTTTTTAGTATAGTTTTTGTATGCAGCCGGAAGGAAGTTCTTTCAGAAGCCGGCATCCGGAGGTAACCGAAATATTATAGATTTATGTTGCAGGCTAATTAGTTTTACAACCCTACTTAATTAATCTGTTCGGAACGAAGACGCATTTCGGAATTTCGGTTTACATTTCATGAGTTAGCCCACTTACTGTATGTCTTTTGGACCAACCAAAGGGGGCGATCTCGAGGAATCGAAACATCAGCAGAAAGAAAGTAATCTAGTAGTACACCAAATACATGAAAAGCAATCCAAGGACCACCAACGGGGCGTTCTCTGACCTTGCCCTGATGTGGATGTAAAACTTCAGCCATGTCACACATACCATCAAATGACCGTATATGTCTAAGAAATATACTCTATTAGGAGTAGAGCTACAGTTAAAGCATTCTGAGTACAAAAATCGTCGATGTCTTAATCAGTAGCATAAAGGGTATTCTTTAAAGAAATCCGACGAAACCCGAGGCTTGAAAGAACAGTCACGATCGGATGATCGGGAACGCCTGGGGTTCCCGCATACCGAGTGTCTTCGCGTCGTTCGCTAACTGTCCCTCGATCCCAATTTGGGAAGACTTTCCACCAGAACCAAAGTCCGTCCGTTTGAAGCAAACTTAGTTGCAGGGTTTAGTGCGGGAGAACTGGCTTATTTAGCCCCCCCTAACAGGACATGGAAATGAGAATGTCCCGTCCGAGTAATAAGGATGGATCGGTGCATAATTCCGGAAAGGACAAAAAATTTCCGTGTCCTAATCCCGACAGTAACCCTAATATAAAACTAAGCTATTGCCCTAATCTTGGCCCCAACCCCTCCCCCTAAACCTTAACTCTGCAGTTAGCACTCCCCCCACCTAAACCCCAAACTTTATCCTAACTTACCTCACCGTTAACTTTAAATCGCTTTTACTTAAGTATTAACCTAACCTTAAACCTGACCCTAATTGTACTGAAATTTGGCTCCAAGCACCCGTATAGCAGGTGGTTCCTGTTATCATGTCCTTTTTAGGAGCTCGTCTAAGTCAGCCGTACCTTTATTAAATTCAGTCGATACTGCCCGCATTGATTGGGGCTTGCAGTTATCCGTGCTGGTTTCCGGACAGGGTCCTCCAGTCTTTCTGGGTCCAGTGTTCGACCAGGGCAATGATTTGCGTTCGTCTATTCAAGGCGGCTAAGATCTGCCAGAAAATGACTACTGACACAATGCCGATGGAACTGAATACCTCTAAGGTTTCCCGCTTGTAACACTGTCCATAGGTTGCTTTCGCATGGCCTAAAGGGGATGGTTATGCAGGCATGGGGGGCGAGAATACAGTAGGTGGGCTAACTCATTAAATGGCAGCCGAAATTCCTAAACGCGTTTTCGTTTCGAAAAAATTACTTAAGAAGGGTTGTAAAACTGATCAGTCTGCAGTACAATTCTATAATAATTCAGTTACCTCAGGATGCGGGCTTTCCGAATGAACTTCCATCCAACTGTATGCAAAAACCACACTTTGCAAAAAATGACTACTTATGTAGCATGGTTTTTTCTCATTGATTTTCGATGCCCCTATAAGTCCAATTATATTTCCGGAAAAACATGCATAAAAAATATTCATTATTTTGCTCATTCGGTAGATAATTACGTCTTTTTCTAGTTTTATACTCGAAGTAGGGACATCATCCGGTTTAAAAAAGTTTCCGATTATGGGATTTTTAAATACCGTGAAATGGCCGTTCATAAATCGTCAGATCTTTGCATTTACCAATGTGGCTTGTAAAGTTAACAATTCGGAGCAAATCCACTGCCAAATTTTATGAAGCCTATATAGTCCCGCTTTATTACCGTAGTAAAATCTGTGGTTTTCCGTACGCGAAAATATGCGGCTTGTAGTTTGAAAACCCTGAATGCAAGTGTGACGGGAATCGGACAGTTTTTGAAAACCGAATTAAGTCCCTGCTTCGAGTTTAAAATTGGAAGAAGACGTAATTATCTACCGAATGAGCAAATGAATGAATATGTTTGTGCATGTTTTCCACGAAATATAATTGGACATTTAGGGGCATCGAAAACCAATGAGAAAATGCATGCTACATAAGTAGTTAGTTTTTACTGAATATGGTTTTTGCATGCGGCAAGAAAAAAATTTTTTCGAAAGCCTGCAGCCCGAGGTAGCTGAATCATTATAAAATTATGCTGTATGATGATTACTTTTACAACCCTATTTAATTAATCTTTTCGAAACGAAAACGCATTTCGGAATTTCGGTTGACATTTCATGATTTAGCCCACCTACTGTAGGATAGGATAGATGTTTCCTCACAAAGCACGCACACATGGTCGATGAACCAGTCCTGTCTGTGTCCCAATACTGGAGGGGTGACAAACCGAATCAAAGTAAGTGCACGCATTTGTGAACCAAAACCTTACAACAAAGATCCAGGTAACAGAGATTAACAAAAAGCTATTCAGCTGTGCGGCTAATTGCAGTATACGACGGCCAGCAGGATAATATGATCTATTGCTAGAAAACACGGTACCTGGCTCAGTAGAGATGTCTCACCTACAGTGTTGTTTACGCTGGTAAAACTAGTATGGATGCGACGACTATGTGAAGGCAGGGAAATCGTTTGCAACCTCATGTAACACCAGTGTGTAAGGTAGTTTCATGAAGGCGATTTTTATTGGTCATAATTAAGGTCAATCACGAGCCACTGGACATCTTATCTATACTTTGAATACTCTAGAGGCTGGATCTAGTTTCAATGAAACAGCGTTTAGGCACACACCCTTAAGAGCAAACAGAAATAAATGAAAGGAAAAAAGGACAAATAAGACGCGCTTATATCTTCCCCTCAAAGTACTCATTTATTTAATCTTTTTCAGTGAGAAAAAAATCTACCGTTCGCTCATAATCCGAGATAGGTGTCATAGGGGGCTTGGGTCTTCAACTGCTGATGAAGGTAGCAATACCCACCAAACTCTCTCAAAACGCCCTAGTTCGTCTGCATTTCTTTAGGGAAAAGGTCCTACCTTTTAAAGCACGCGCGTTTCTTGTCATCTGTTGGGTTAGCATGAAAAATACCGTCTCGAGCATTTTGACTGTCCTCTTTCCAGTTCTTGGTATTTATTAAAATTTTCTGCTTCCTGCAGTTTTACAAACTAGAGCTTCTCCAGGACGGCAGACGTCTGGAGGATGAAGAGATTTACAACCAACTACGGAGGATCACACACGATGCCGCCACGAATAGGGATGCAGTGACGCGTGTTGGATCACTGACGGCTTTGCCGAGACCTCGCTGGGCTAAAGTTCGAGAGTACATGGCCTCAGGTACTATTTCGTCTTTTAAGCAATTTAAGATGACTCGGTAACCCGTCTTGGATCAGTAATAGGGTGCCGAATTTCTATGTGCGCGTATCATCTCAAACTTTAGAGAGTTTATTGGAGCTCAACATTGGTATTGCTTATCGGCTACAAAGTAGTGGGTTAACCGTCTTGTTGATTAGGTCAGCCTATCCTGCCTTGTTTGAAGTTAGAAAATTGTTTGTTCAGTACCCCACACCGGCTTAGGGTCCAGATAAAATGTTATAAAATCAGATGGAGGACTAGAATTTTAGAAGTCCATCATGTTTCTAGTGTTAAGCCCATTCACTTTTTGTCAGAATAACGGAATAAAATCATACAGAGCATCTTGGTTCATGTGCTGCTGTTGAAATCACAGAAGGAAAGGACGTCAAGTTGTGAGTAAGGAAGAACTACTCGTTAATCTGACTGAGCCTTCGAGCTCGTGCAGGGATCCATCGTCAGAGATAAAAACAGGGACGGGACAGGCGACAGTTGTAGGTGACATTAGCCAATCAGCGACGCAGACGTGGAGGCGGCTGCGCGGGGCTCTGTATGCCAGCGCCAAATCGATACATAGATTGAGTTCGCGCCCGACACCCGGGCCCCGATCAATTCTCGGCCTGTCTCGTTTCCGGTGTGGTCGATTATCCCGGGCGGTGGGTCACTCTATTCGGGCACCATCTGTTTATCGGCTCCCGTCCGTAGCTTCATGAAGCTGTGTTGAACGCGACGGCCGCACTAGACGAACGAATCCTGTGTGTCTCTTTAACGCCAGAGATGATGCGTGCGAAACCTAACTTAATTATGGGAGAGCGATACGCCGTGTTGCGGCTTTCGTGGGCGGTTTCCTATGTCAGGTCAGCCATTGCACCCAAGTCCATCTTTGCAGTATCTGGTTTATCCAATGAAATTCTGAACGGTGTTTTCAGCTAGGAAGGATTACAAGGTGGGGTTATAGTATTTATTATTGTACAAAGCCGTCTCACGATGTTTCAGTCGTGCCAAGGTGGCGGCTTCTGAATAAGCTTTGGTCCGCCTGCCTCCGAAAAATAAAACCGCTAAAAAATGAATGCATACGTAGTTAAATATTTGCCCAGGACTTTCGATGTGCGTATAAATTCTGGTATATTTCATTGAAGTATGCTCAAAAATATTGTTCGTCGTCCTCATTTGGTAGAAAACTACGTCAGTCGGTTTGAAAAAGGTTTGTTATTATTTGATTTTCCTAGACCATTAAAAGTCTACTCATACAGCATCCTGTCCGTCCGTTTGTTAATGCTGCTTAGGAATTATACAAAAATGGGCCGCATTTATTATGAAATTTTGTGATCCGTATTTGACATCTTGATATTATAGAGAAACGAATGATTTTTCGTACAAAGAAGGCAGTTTGGAAGCTTTTGGCGAAAGTGCGACTGCGGATTGGGTTCAAAATTACTCGGGCATTGAGAATGTTTTTCAAAACCCAAAGATACCCTTCCTTCATGTATGGAATTCGAATAAGACGCAATGTGCAAAAAATGAGTGCACGAAAGAATATTTTTGTGCGTTTTTTCTATAAAATGTATTTGCATTTATGAAAGGCATCGGAAATTAACAGGAAGAATTTATGCTGCATGAGTGGTCATTGTTTACAAATTGCGGGCCTTTTAGGTGGGCGGAAAGAGACACATTCAAAAGCCCGCATCCAGGCGTGACAAAAACATCTTGAGATTATTTCGCACAATAATCAGTACTACAGAAAACACATCTGAGAATTTCGATTAAGCTTTCGTGAGATAGACATGATACTGTGGTTATCCTGAGTCAGTTTTGCCACTGGAAGAGGGTGCACACTTGAGAAAAAGAAGTATGGCTGAGACCGCAGAAGTCATCATCGTTTCGTCAGCACGTCCTGCTCGAAGGACAAACTACAATATACAATGGTATTACCGACAAAGACGAGGGAGACGGGAATGGCCATTTCTGGCTTATTTGCCGTCGTCAGGCAGTCATACCCAACCCCGAATTGTGGCACACCCAAGGCTCGAACTCGCGACCTGTTTGTTAGAAGTCCAACACCCTCTAGCCGTTGGGCCACGAGCCCGTTGCCCTGTCGGTTTTTGCTAGAGAATATACAATGATAGAGGGACGCTCACCGATCGTTCATACGGAACTCACTCGTTCCGTTGTGCCTTAAGGGCTCTCTCTCGACCCCAACCAGCGGCCACACAGCGGTGCATGGTATATAGGCAGAATGATATTACCGACAAAGACAATGTCTACCGGGGCCCATGTTCAATGCTTGTGATCTTTTACCGCCAGCCTAGCATTCTGGACCTTTAAGTTCGTTGTTTCGAGTTACATTCTTTTCCAACCACAAGGAATTCCACTCTCACCTTCCTCACCCCCTGCCCTCCGCGCTCACCTGTAGATCCGGTCAATAGAAAGAGTCTGGAGGCCATCGAGAGCAGCATGTTCCTGCTCTGTCTGGACATGTCACCGGTGCCGGTAATCGAGTCCGTTGACGAGTCAGACGAGGCTGCCATGCTGGCGGCCGACAATGACGCCAAGGAGGACACCCTCTGCACCCACCATCGGGACGACAAACTTCTGGCTCAGCAGATGCTCCATGGCATGGGAAGCAAGCTCAACGGTGCCAACCGCTGGTACGATAAGACCATGCAGGTAGGTGGACCTGCTTTCACCTGCGTGTCCTCCCTACTGTTGTTCTTGTCTGCCTGCTAGGTAAAGCAAGCGTGAACAGAAAATGTGGGTTTAGAGCAGCCGTAGGCTGCTGCGTTTCGTGTCACGGCAGTGTGAGCCCGAATCATGGGGGACGGACAGCATTTTCTTCTGTTTTATCAGCAACAATCCTCTTTTGAAAATTAGCCCGCGTGACCGTGAAATGGCTGTTCAAGTATCATATGATCTGCTCACTTATGAATGGTCCTTATCGAGTATACAACTCAGTCCAAATTCATTAAAAAATATTGTGAGCCCAATTCAATAGATGAACCCACGATTTGTCTTACGTGAAGATTTTACGGATCATAATTTGGAAACTTAAGTAATAAGTGTGACGGCAAGTCAATTTCCAGCATATTCTTAAAACCGGGAGATTCCGTTCCTTCGCGTGTCTACTCGGAGAAAACGATGTCACTACCCAATCAGTACAAGACATTTCGCATGTTTTTAAAAAATGAATAAATAAGGGTGTCAAAACGAATTTAAAAATTCATGCTACTTAAATAGCCACTTCGTAGCGGACGTACCCTCTGCAGGCTACTGCAAGCAGCGTATTCGAAGCAGGCACCTTGGCGTAACTGAAATATCTTGGGATAATGCTGAGCGACAATCAATATTCCAACCGCACTTAAGTAATCTTCCCTAATCGAAATCGTATGTCAACATTTCGCCTACATTTCATAAGATTTATCCTTGACTGAGCTTTAAGGATGAGGACAGGTAAGCTATTTGAAAGGTAGGATGATAAATAAGGTAATCTTATACCGAGGAATGTTTCCAACAAATACAAAGAAAACTTGAATGTTCATTTCTGACTTATTTTTCCGCGGCAGGCAGTCAGACCACAACCACAAGTCGAGTACTTGGGACTCAGACTGGAGTCTGTTAGAAATGTAACTTTTAAGATTTAAAAATGCCGAAAGTGGATATTCCAGTCTTTCCTGTTTTCTTATCGACATCATCTTGATTACGGCTTCTTAAAAAGCCTGCCGGCTTCTATAAAATGTCGTATTGAACGTGATCTGGTCAGTAAGCACTTGGAAAGGAATGCTAATAAGTCTTTGAATCGTAGATTGCACCAGTAGTCATGAGAATGCCTAAAATTCTCATAATATGAAGGATATCCTTGATTATCATCTTAGAAAACCGAAATTTCTGCCCGGTGACAGTTATGTTCGGTGATGCTGGTAAGAGCAGTTATAGTAGTAGCGTTTGGCTCCTACGAAGACCTGCACTACAAATGCGTCGAACCACAACGGATGTAAGGTTGACTCACTGCGCGTCTCCATCGAGCTGTGCCGAGTTCGCGATAACTCATAACTACCGCCGTGCATGCGCGTGTGCCCCGCCAGCCACTGCGCTCGCTGCCAACACCCGTTGGTTGACAGACGACTGGTGAACGGAAGAGGGAAGAAACGTGAGTCAAGACTAGGGGGCCCATCCTCACTAATAAAAAGTCTAACGCTCTAAAAATCGTGGCATGGAGGGTTGCCAACTGATGATATGGCACACCCCTTTTCAGGATCGAGAGTCAGGCTGCGATAGCTCTTTCTCACAGTGGCCTTTGTGGCACTCTCGCACATGCAATATTCGAGACACCCTTACAGAAGCCCGGTACATGTAGTGGGGACTGGTTTGTGTGTGGCACGCGTAGACGAGCTGCTCCCCTTTTCCAGCCACTGTACCCGAATCCGAGTCAGGTTGTCTCGACATCGCCGTAACGCTCAATCCTAGTGGTTGGGGTAGGGGAGAGTGCAATGGACTCTGTGCAAGTCTACCCCTCTATAGGTTAATTCACGGGCAAGTCCCCGACGCTGCACTCACTCCGTGGGGCATGCGCTGGACTCCGTTGCCTGTGGCGGTAGAAATATCACCAGGTTACTTTTCCAGGGATCGTTTACTCTTTGGGCAACGAAGATGCCGACTTGTCAATAAGTTCTCCCTATTTTCGAGTATTATGCTGCGATAAACTATTTCCCCTATTCGGCGCACCCATGAGAATTCTGACGAAATTCTAAGGGGTCTTTAAAACAGATCAAACGTTCTGTAGTTTGCTTGAGCTATTCTGAGCGACTAATTGTTCTCCACGAAAACCTGAGCAAAACTTGAAAACTGCGATAATGTCCACACGAGGTTGGCAGCACATTGACATTTCCCGAAGACAACAATATCCGTATGCGTAGCAGAAGTGACGTTCAGGTAAACGCCTGTCAGGCTGAACTCGACCTACTCAAGATGACAGAGTAAGTGACGACAGAGACGTGGGTATTTCCAATATCTGCTAAAAAAAACCTTTTAATTAAATGACTCGGTAGTCCTCTGGTGGATTCTGGATTGGTTATCTGGGAAGTCCTGCATGGGCAGTCAGCTTACTGTATCAGATTTAGTGGATTTCATACGTCTGCAGGTCTTAGAAAGTCGCACGACTTTTTACTAACGTTTTAAAACTGTCTCTTGTAGTCTTTTATGCCTTATATATTTGACAGTTACCAGCGCGTTATTTATGGAATCTAGGTTTATAGTGGCCGTCGGGGAACTTGGATTCCGGGCGGGTAAAGGCCCCGGTTAGTCGTATAAAGGCTTTATTTTCTTCATGTCAGTGCCCGTCCCCCTCCTAACACCAGGTCCAGACGCGTCAGTCAGCAATGACTAATTTTTTAAAACGAACTCCGATTAAGCACATCCGTTCTCAGAATGCATAGAAGCGGTGTCAGGCATCCCGGAACATGCATTAGGCTATCTAACACTCCGGTGTAGCATCTCCAGTCAGGTTCGTGCTACGATTAAACTCGGCATCTTCAACTAGCAGCCGGCATACGAATTTTTCTTTCCGCTGTCTACGGACCGAGTAGGCGTTCGCTAAACGCCTCCCCCCCCCCCATCATTGCGCTCCAATTCACCAGGGCATTGAAATTCAAAACGGAGCTTGAGCGGAGAGTTCATCCTAAATCTATGGTCCTACTTGACCCCCTCTCCGCGCACTCCTTCAAGCAGCCTAAGGAAGGAGGTGGCCGGGTGGGTGGTGGGACGGTCGTGCCCCGTCGATGCATAATCGGAATAAAATTAAATTTGCCTTATCCTACCTTCATAGCCGGCAGTTCGGTGTTATTTTTTCGGATTTTGCTTTCACTTGAAATGGTCGAAGATACAAGGATTCGGCTTCTGACAAAAGTGTGGGATTATAGTAGAGTGGAACGTGCCTACGAAATATGTTACGACGTGTCTTTAGATACAGTAAGTGGGCTAACTCATGAAATGTCAAACGAAATTCCGAAAAGTGTTTTCGCTTTGAAAAGATTAATTAACTGGCGTTGTAAAACGTATCATCATGCAGCATAATTATATAATAATCCAGTTACCTAAGGATGCCGGCTTTCGAACGAACTTCCTTCCGACTGCATGCAAAATGTATACTGTGTAAAAAATGATTACATGTGTAGCATGCATTTCTCTCATTGATTTTGATGCCTTAGAAATTCAATTATACTTCATAGAAAACATGCATAAAACTATTCGCGCTTCTACTTATTTGGTAGAAATTAACTTTCACTTTAAATTTTATACTTGAAGAAAGGGTATTATTTGGTTTTTGAAAAGTTCCTAATTGTGCGATTTTTTATTACCGTGAAATGGCCTTTCATAAAATATTGTGTCTCTGCATTTACCAATGTTGCTTCTTAAGTTCACGATATGGCTCAACTCCACTTCTAGATTTAATGAACCCCATATGGTCTCCTCTTAGTACCGTAGGGAAATGTATGGTTTTTCGCACGCGGAAAATATACGGCTTGTACATTGGAAACTCTGAATGCGAATGTAACATCTAGTCGGGTTCAAAATTATTCGGAAATTAGGAAAGTTTTTGAAAACCGAATAATACCCTTTCTTCATGTATAAAATTTAAAGAAGAAGTTTTATGCATGTTTTCTATGAAGTATAATTGAGTTTCTAAGGCATCAAAATTCAATGAGAAAAGTGCATACTACATAAGTAGTCATTTTTTTACACAGTATAAATTCACCATGCAGCCGGTCGGAAATTCGTTCAAAAGCCGGCATCCTGACGTGACTGAATTATTATAGAATTATGCTGCGCGATGATTAGTTTTACAATGCCATTTAATTAATATTTTCAAAACGAAAACACATTTAAGAATTTCGGTTGACATTTCATGAGTTAGCCCACCTGCGTGGCTCGAAGTATGAGGTAAACGCCCAACTTGCGTGAATAGCGTCTACTTTGCGTTCACTTTAGTTAATGTTTGATGCTTTTCAAAAAAATGTAATTATTACGATGCGTATCAAAATCTGATTTGCCAAATTTTACAGTGTCGTGGAAAAGATTGGCCTACCAAATGGTCGATTTTAAGAGGAGGCTAAGTGTCATCATCAACTACCTGTTGAAAGGGACCATTCGCCTAAGTGAATGACGGTTACGTGTTTGAAATTACGCCGGCTTCAAATCTGCTTGCCCAAATCAACCTTGAACAGACGACCTTGTGTCGGTGTAGCCGACAGGCATTTTGTCCTTCAAACTACTGTCGTCTTCATACTGCTGTCATTAAACGGCCTGAGTGCGACTCACACTACTCACTAACACCACCTTTCATTGACGCCGTTAGGAGCTTGTTTAACTATCGATTCCCACGTGTCAATTGGCATTTCCCTGCAATAACAGACAGCAAGGTTACCTAGGTCACTCAGGAAATGCGCGAGGCAGTCGTCGATAGTCCTTCTATTTGTACTGTAGCTCGCCAACTGTTTTGTATTCTTTTTTTGAAAAATATGCTCTCTTCCGCCTGGACGCCTTCTGGGGGGAAAATCAGTTATTTTTATGTCAACCAGGAAGGCTTACGTCACACTTTAACCGTCTTAGCAAATCTTTTGCTCATGTACCGACTAAGATACTTTTCTAGAACAAAAACTCTCCTACCATTTCGCAACTTGTAAATGAACTATGTTATTGACAGTTTCGAGGTTATCACAGCTCTACAGCAACCTCTGCTTGCTGCTCAGGACTTAATTTATTTCCCCCTAACCTGACTATTTCGATCAACGCAACATCGTAGACCTGCAGAGTCGACGTCACGAAAACGCCCATGGCCTTCGTCAAGGCCCACCAATCGGTGCTTAAAGATAGATTGCTAGTAAGTATTATATACGACGTTGTAGCATGAAGTATCTCGTTCGTTCTTACCCTCTTCAAGTGTTTTATCATACTGTGTGCGATCCTTTGTCCGCCAGTCCTGCATTATTGCTAATTTTGAGCGTCTCATAAATAGAAAGTCACTAAGTCTCACTCCTCTCCTGTCTAGAAGCACGCGTCAAAAGTCCCCTCCTAATCACTCCTGAAGGACATCCATTCCGACACTTAAAATGAGGTGTGACATGCAAATAAAGCAAAATTATATTCACTGATTTGTCATCGAGGACATAATTCTGAATACTTGAGGTTCAGATTTAATCTCTACCTGTAGGAAAATGCCACGCACAGTTCGTATCATGATGGTCTTACAGCCGCAGACCACTGATACTCTCCTCACTTGGCAAAGGAGATCGTCATGCACCGTGCATAATGCCAGCTGACCAAGGCTACAGTTAAGCTACGATACCAGAAACTCATTCATGCCGGTGGTCTTTATGGCTGTAAGATTTATCCACGAGTTGTTGCTTCTCACTTATTGCCTAAACAGCTCGCATTAGATTAGCTGCTACCGAGGATGCCCAAAACAAGTCTGTAATAGAAGTTCAAATTTCGTCCAAATTTTTCATGAAAAGGCAGTGAGAGTACCACGTGGTCGGCGAGTTACTATAAAGTTAAAAAAACGAATGCCACACCAACTACAAATGTCATTCACACCTGGATTTCCAACGTTCGGCCACGCCATCATCCGTAACACACCACCAAGTACGTGAATTCGGAAGTCCTCCTAAGTTGGTGCCTCATTAATTTCATAGCACACCCCTACACAACCTCCTATCTGACAGTTTAAAGTCCCTGAAAATACAAACTCGTATATATATACACCCGTTGTTCGTGCAAACTTGTTTTCCAATTACGTGCTGGAATAGGGAAATACTTTGGACCTTGTCTGATAGAAGCATGAGGTCGAGGACGACCACTGTCACTAACGGGTGAGTGAAGCTATACAGCAAATCACTTAGTCTCTATGTGTGCTACTGACCGCCTGTTGGCAAAATGTGAATACTACCCAGCTATTCTGCCGAAGCTGATGGAGTTCAACTCAAATACCAACATGAGCTTCCGGATCAAAGTTGAGAAAGTGTTCGTCGAAGCATTAATCCCAATTTCGCATATGTCTGTGGAAAATAAAGAGATTAACAGAGGTGGTTTTCTAGATATTACAACTATCTTGCCTCTGGTCGACCCTGGAGTCGTCTTCTGTGAGCAATAATCTGCCTAGTTAGAGTCGTTAACTCTTTCGGCCCTATAGTCAAGTCGTTAGAGAGTACATGGTGGTAATAATGCGGTCCACCTACTAAACGAATTGCCGTCTATAAAAGGATATGGCAGCAACATCCTGGCTTATAAGTGTCGCCGCGCGGGTTTATGAGCTATGACCGTTTTAATCACTGCCATTCCCTCTCAGCAGATAGTCTCTGCAGGGAGTCTTCCTTCCTCAACATCGCCGGTGTCCTAGGAAAGCGTTAGCCAGAAGAACCCTATACACTCTGACGCTAACTTGAAAATTTGTCAAATAAAAATTTGAAACTGCTGCTGTCTCGGCAACAGAAGCTTTTACTCTTTACCCGAAACCCTTATGACGTCCGAGGAAGGAGAAAAGTGCACTCAAAGGCAATCAATGACTTTAAGCAGGTGTTGCATTTTGTGTTTGCTTTCGAAGTTAATGTGAAATCGGAAATCACCAGCCTACAGTCGAGTAAGAAAAGTCTGAGACAGCGTGGACTCACAAAGCTCGGGCTATTCCATAGTCATCGCACGATTAACTTACGTTATGATTCAAAGTCAAGTACGTGGCTGCGTTCAAGTAATGCCAACGTCGATCAGACTTCAAAGTTTTGGACCAAAATGGCCAGTTGTGGTTATGTAGCATCACATGAAGTAAACAAACCCCAGCCACCTGTAATACGAGGTCGGCGATAATGATGGTTGTTACCGACTGAACCGGAAATTGCATGGGCGACGACTTCAATTAATTGTATGCAAAATAAAAGCTATTGGAAGTGTGCGGTTATACTTTGAGTTGTTGAGATATAGGTGCCCTAACTTATAGCCCTAACCTAACCCCAAATCCTAACCTTAACCTTTAACCCCAACCCCAACAGTATTGTGCGCATCAGGTGGGGCTAAATAACCATATCTTACCGCCAAAACCGCTTCAAATGGAGCAAACGTGACCCGTATCGTTCAGTTTCGATTTGCCAGAAGATCACAGTACTGGTCCTTTTGAGCACTCGCGTTGCCAACAGTCAAATTTGTCATTTGACAATTCTTTCGAATGCCTGTTGGCTCTTCTAAGAACCAACAAGCCGCTTCAGCTTTACAGACTAGCCTTATCTAGTCGTGCCCGGACAGACTTGCACTGCGAAAGCCTGATTATCTAGACGGCTGTGTCCCGCCCTTCTTGATTGCGACAGGGCCTAATCAACAGCCCCCTTGGGGATTTGTTAGGATTCAAGAGGGAGGTGCGTTGTTCGTAAATTAGGCTACTATGCTTGACCCGATCTCCAAATTTTACTAGAATCCGCGACAATGTTGTCTGCCCGCGTCTCAAATAAGTGCAAGGTTGTCCTCTTGGCCATTTAACGCTTGCCTGTTGCTGCTTGAAGTTGGTGATGTCGACTTTTTTGTCAATGGTGGCGATTATGTCGCTGTGTGTTAGCCGTGAGTCGTTTGCTTTATTCAGAAATGTTCGCCCTTGAAGTTCCTAGCATTCAAAGGAAAAATCGCCCTTTCCTGGGGAAAGTATAAAAGCCAGAGGAAAGCAGCCGCAAAAAATGACTGTTTTAAACAGCGGACACTCAGTCATCGATACTTCGCTGTCATTCTACACGCACTCATTCAGACGAAGTCGAATAACACGAAGTGCCCTTACAGTAGGTGGGCTAACTCATAAAATCTCAGCAGAAATTCCGAAATGAGTTTTCGTTTCGAAAAGAATAATTAAGTCGAGTTGTAAAACCGCTCGCAGTATGGCATAATTCTATAATAATTCTGTTATTTCAGGACGCCGGCTTTCAAATGAACTTATTTCCGGCTGCATACAAAAACCATACTCCGAAAAAAATGACTGCTCAAGTATCATGCATCGTTTCACTGATTTTCGATGTCCTTAAAGATCCAATTATATTTCATGCAAAACATGCATAAATTATTCATTCTTTTACTCATTCAGTAGAAACTTACGTAATCTTTCAATTTTACACTCGAAGGAATTTTATAATTTGGTTTCATAAAACTCTTCCAATTCCCGAATAATTTTGAGCTCGACCTGCCGTTACGCTTTCGTTCAGGATTTTCAAACTACAAGCTGTATAATTTCCGCGTGCGGAAAAGCGTACATTTCTTTGCGGTATTAAGAGGAGATCATATGGGGTTCATAAAATTAAACAGTGAATTTGAGCCACATTGTTAACTTTACAAGCTACGTTGGTAAATGCAGACACAGGACGTTTTATGAGGAGCTACTTACCGGTATTAAAAATCTCACAGTTAGAAACTTTTTAAAACCCAATTATACCCTGCCTTCGAATGCAAAATTGAAAAAAGACGTAATTTTATATTGAAGGAGCAAAAGAATGAGTAATTTATGCATGTTTTCCATGAAATATAATTGAATCTTTAAGGACATTGAAAATTAACGAAAATATGCATGCTACCTAAGTAGTCATTTTTTCGAAGTATGGTTTTTGGATGCAGCCGGAGAGAAGTTCATTTGAAATCTGGCATCCTGAGATAACTGAATTATTGTAGAATTATGCTGTGCGATGATTGGTTTAACAACCTTAAGTAGTTAATCTTTTCGAAACGAAAACGCATTTCGGAATTTCTGCTGAGTTTTCATGAGTTAACCCAATTACTGTATAAGTCTTAATTAGTCGTAGCAAAATCAAGTAATCGAGAACCAGTCCAAATCGGTGAACTCAAGCCGGTAGGGCTGAGTTATGTGGCCCCCTAAACAGGGCAGTAGAATTGGCGTGCCCTCCTCCAAGTAATAAAGGTGGGCCTGTGCATAATTCTATAACGGTCAAAATATTCTCGTGTTCTAACCCCTAATAGACAGCTAAATCATTGCCCTAATCTTGGCCCCAACCCCCTCCCCCTAAACCTTAACTCTGCAGTCAACACTCGCCCCTACCTTAACCCTTAATTTGATCCTGGCTCACCTAGCCCTAAACCTCATCCTTAACCTAACCCCAGCCCTAAACCTAACCCTAATTTCCCTGGAAGTTGGCTCAGCGACACCCGTATTGCCGGCAGTTCCTGTTCTCATATCCTGTTTGGGGGACAATATAAGTTAGTCCTACCCACAAGCCTCATGTAACATCATATAGTCCCGGTGACAGTCGATGTATTGTAGTAAGAGCCGGTGACCTCAATACCCATTGAACCTCGGTTCAAACCCTCGAATGCATTAGCACTGGCCAACAACATCAAATAAGGCAGTTCCATCGAAAGTCGGGCGCCTTAGTCAGGAAGTGAGTCAAGCCTGATCTGGTTATTCTGGCCCCCAAGCCGACCGATAAGCGTGTCATAAGCCCAAACGCGAGGGGGTGACAAAGGGGTTTCGGCGCAGCATTCAGGCTTGATTAAACTTGAGTTTGCCGTCAAACCGCCCTTGTGCCATCCCTGTGAAGGTCAACCTGCGGCAGATGGGGAAGACAGGTGTCAACGCTCCCTCTGCTCGACCGTCGATATCATCTGCAGGGATGATGGAATTAAATTTCCCCATCACTCAAAGCGTCAGCTGGCAAACCTTCACATCGAGGGGAATGAACAAAGTTTTGTGAGGCCATTACCAGCCAGAAAAGACAGGAACTGAGTCTAATATTTTCTGTGATGCTGTTGGAAGACAAGGGGGGAGAGAGTCGAAGTCCTATCTATCCTTTAAGGCCTAAATATACACCTCAACCCGATATGTATATCTACCGTGTCGTGACTGGGAAAAGTGTCATCTTACGATGGAAATTATTGAAACTGCCATCGGTGAGAACTCCGTGAGAATAAAACCCTCCTTGGAACGAATAAGCGCCGCCTTAGTTCTGGACAATGAAATCTTATTATCAGAATCCTGCGGTAATATTTTGTATTACGGTTAAAGGCAACAATAAGGGAACTTCCACCCAAGTTAGTTACTTAACTAGGCCAATCGGCCAACTGAATTCTGACATGTAAATGATGATGCCTGATTAAAAAATAAAAGGCGAAAATGCCTACTCACAGCATATGTAAGACAGCCTTCAGATCCGGAGAAAAGTCTTTTAAAGATTTTTCAGAGGGTGAAATCACATCGAAAGGGCTTAAACTCTCCAATAACATGGCTTAGATACCCCTTTGAGCGGAGCCTGTAGATAATCACGAAATCCTGAAATTCGAGACAGCTGGATCCCAACAAGTCGGCTGTCATTTGTGAACGACGCTCATTCATCTAACCTGATTGAAACTGAGAGCCTACAGTCCACCCTAGCGGTCTGATTGCGCCTAGCAGTCAATAATGCCAACCTGTTGCTCATGGAGACAAGGAATACTGGAATGACAGAATAGTATTACCGACAAAGACAGGACGGTAATAACATTCTGCCTGTATCATGCGCCGCTGTGCGGCTGCTGATGGGGCTCGAGTGAAAACCCGGAAGGCACAACGCGACGAGTGAGTTCCTTAGAAACGATCCGTGAGCGTCCCTCTACCAATACTGGAATGGTCGATCTCATCTGATTAGCCGTCACCAGCCAACCATGATGGGTTAGCTAATCATCGGACATTTTAAAGCCGAATATCACCCAATCGAGCTTTAAGCTGACATCATTTAGGCTGAGGTCGATAATACTTAGAGTTATATAATAGCGAAGTTCGTCAACTAGTTCTTCTTTCAGGGTGGATTTGAGATTTTATGAGGTGCCCATATTACAACTAAAATGGCTTTAGTCTCAAACCAGCGACGTTTAATTGTTCACATTCTTCGGTTGTGAGGTTCAGCTTGAGCCCTTCTAGTAGAAGGATCTGTGCCTACATTTAGAGAGTTTGTGTAACACTACAAGTGTCGGCGAAATAAATACTGCTGGCTAAAGTTCCATCCTCATGAACTTAAGTGGCAATAAAGGATTTTCTTCTAGTTCGCCTTAATCAGATCGACTTTTTGCTCGTTTGATTGGTTTGTCATCTTAAATGCAGGACGTAAGGCTACCCACCCCCCCTCCCCCGGCTTGTATAAGAAGGGCAAACAAAAGTAGTAACTCTGTGAAGTTGCGGAGGAGGCTGAAGACATCTTCAGTGGGCGAGTACTGTCGCCTGTGACGAGATCAATTTGATTAATGGACTTGATCAGATGTCTGGCCATGCAGGCTGGATGCAAGGTCGAATATGTGATCGGCTTGGCCGTAACTCCCGTTTGCTCCATTTAAAAACCATATTTAAACCATTAAGACGCAGACGGTGCCTACCCCACTTTGTGTCGGCTATTGAAAACAGAATTCCTTGGTAGTTTTGGAATTATGGCAGGAGTGCTGCTACCGCGTAATATTCATTAACTGCCAACAGGCAGCCAGGCTGCACGATAAACCACAGTTGACAGCACACGTGCTTGGCTAAATTTCAGTCTAAGCCTTAAACTCTCGATTTGACTAATCTACTCCAAATTGGCTGTTGAGTTCTAAGGGAATTAAAGAGCCACAAGTTTTTTTAGCCCGTAGCTCGTCCAGGAACTTAGGAATGGCCATCTCTGCTTCTGTTCGGCTAACGTGACGGCTGCGCTCAGCACAGTCTCTAGGAGCCACAGATGTCAGATAGACCCCGGGCGGGGGAGGGGGTCAGAATTGAGTGACCACCGTTAAAATGACTACTCCCCACCTGAGTACTTCATGCACCCGCAGTTTTCCTTGGCATGTGCTTTTGATGTTTCAGCTGTGGTTATATGAGACCTTGGAATAAGATGTCACCATGTTTCTGCGCATAGTACAAAACCCACCTTGATAGCAAAACTGCAGAAGAGGGATATTGCAAAATATAATTGATAAGTAAGTCTGTCCCGCTATCAAGGTCGCCCCCGGTCATGCTACTCCGCATGCTTATTAGACAACTTAACCGCAGGCCTATGTCTTCTCTCATTTACTAATTGTAGTCACATTTGCTCATTTAAGTCATCCATATGCAGTAACACCCCAAAAATGACTGGAGTTGCGTCCTTAGATGCTTACATACATGAACGTCTACCGTCCGTTACCATGTGCCTCCCGGGTCTTCTCTTGTGAGCGCACTTTCTACAAGACATTGAGTGTAATGTCGTGAAGCCACGGATTCAGGAGGGCGAATTTACGGGGTTTCACAGTGCGTCACAGTGCACTTTCCACCGTCAACTCTCGATATGACTCTTTAGAGTTACCTTTCGAAAGGCGCTTTCCGATTTTCAGGTATATGTACATCGTGGCTGTCAAACAATCGGAATGTCACTAACATTGCACGCTCTCGGGGTGGCATTAGTAAATTAATCCTCTCGATTTTCACTCGAAGACAGACATTTACCAGACGCGAAGGAGGCTGAAGACATCTTCAGTGGGCGATTACTGTCGCCTGTCGAAAGTATTATGTGACGAGAGCAATTTTGTTAATGGATTTGATCGGATGTCTGGCCATGCAGGCTGAATGCAAGGTCGAATATGTGATCGGATAGGCCGCAACTCCCGTTTACTCCATTTAAAAACCATATTTAAATCATTAAGACGCAGACGGTGCCTACCCCACTTTGTGCCGGCTATTGAAAGCAGAATTCCTTGGTAGTTTTGGAGGTATGGCAGGAGTTCTTCTAGGGACGACATTGCCCATGAGAATGTTTAGTATTCAGTACCCTGCTTTACTAGTAATTTTTAAGGTTCAAGTATCCTGTTTGATGCATGCCTTGGTAGAAAAAATAACTATGACAGCTCAATTCACACAAATGCAGCAGAAACAGCTCAACCTACTTTCAGGGGGGAACTTACTACTTACGGGTGAATGTTATCCCTGAGAAAAACCGGATATTTAAAGCGTTGAATTGTTTTAAACTTTATAATCAAGAGGGTTCAGATATACTGATATCTTATTTTAAACATTCCTTGGAGAATAAGGCCATGGCAGTCAAAAGAAAAACTCCTACCGCAGAAGAGTAAGCAAAATAAGGAAACTCAGCGACGCCCAAAAACTCTTACTGTGATTTGGAAACTTAGTGGGGTTATAGGCCTTTTAGAGGAGTTTGCGAATCCAACTGGTTAGTTTAGGTTTTTGCACGCTCTGTTGGCTGCTCCAAAAAGTTTTTTTATTTTCTATTAGATAATTCGATATAGCGTATAGCGTCTAGAGGAAGACGTCATTTTCACTGGAACGGAAGAGTAGAGCTTAGAGCGTCTTTCGTCTCGGGTGTCGTTAAATTACCTGCTGTCTGACAGCGTATTTCGCCTAATTTCAATAGATTTTTGGCGAAGAATCGGGTATGTAAGGCCGGGAGGTCATTACTTTCGTTGATCGATCGGAGGTCGCCTGCTCACACCACCTTGCATCGGGGTTGCACAGAAACCTGAAGCAGCCATCAGGCGCCAAGCCAATATGCCGAAAGACCCACTATCAAGTCAGGAGACGGCTGAAGTCTTTTACAGGATCTGGCACGGTTACTAAAAAAGCAACTGCGTCAGAGGAACTTGGAGACTACTCCGGATGCGAATAACCGAACATGCAGTGGCAGTGGGGGAGAATGAAGCTAACTCTCATGTCGCGGCTCACTCGACGGGACCTGGCCGAAATTCTCGGGGGAGGGGACAACCGCACGAACCGCGAGCTGCCTGAGTCATGTTTCTCCAGACGTTTATTGACGTGGCGGTGGGTCTTTCGGCATAGTGACCTGGTTACTGAATGTTGTTTCTGGCTTCTGTGCAACTCCAACGCCAAGTGGTGTTAACAGACGGCTCCCAATCGATCAGCGACCGTAATGACCTCCCCTTCCCATATGCTTTGCTGAGACTTTGCCCGGGAACCTAATTTGTCCTGCTTGAAGGGTGCGGTCGACCGACAGTTCCAGTAACAGCGAAGAAAATCGCCGAGTCCTTATCACGCCAGGAATCCACAGTAGTAATCTCAATTCGACAATTAACGACTCGTATGCGGACTAACAGGCCACCGCCGCATCAATTACCTGCCTCAGCGATGAGTGAGGGAACTGCCAATTAGACTGGGCATACGTTTGCATTGTAGTCACGGCCTATAAATACCGTACTTGGTGTGGCTCTATCATTCTTATCTGGGACTGCCTTTGGTGATGTGTTCGAGCCAGAATCGAAAAGTCATGCCAACAAATCTCTGATTCCAGCGACCGCATTTTCTTCTTCTGAACCTAACTCTAACCCTTAAATCACAAATTAACCCTAACCTTACCACTAGCATTAAGGTTAGACTAATATTAACGCTAGCGCCTTAAGTAAACTTATTCGGGGTCTTAGGAATGGATCCTTTTAAGTGTTAATAAAACTACCAGAGCTACGTTCACCTTGCCGTGTAGCGTCATCTGCAATCTGTTTCCAGGAAAACCATAACGAAATAGACCTAAATAAAATATGTAGGCAAGTTTTAAGGATAAACCTAGATAAGAACAGACTAGAAAACTTCATCGTTTTGTTTTTTGACCAAAACTGTGTACGGGTAGACAGTTACATTTGCTCAGCGTCATAATCAATTCCTAAAACGAAAAGTATCGCGAGACGGTTAGGGAGTCTCCTACATACTACGGGGACGGAATCTGCATAGGATATGTTCACCCAGTTTGTCTTGCCTAAGAACTTACCAGTCTGCTAGTAGGCTCCTTTGATTGTTATTTCGGAGTGTTTTGTAATGCGTGTGGACAATCTCTTCTACTGCAATGCATTTCACTAATAAATGAGGATGAAAAGAAAGGCTAAGAAATGTTTTTATTTTAATAATAATAATAATAGGACCTTCAAATAATGTTTCCACTCGATAATAAAACGACAAGTGGACGAGATGCGAGTGCCGGAATAAAAAAATCCACGGTGACTTTTATGATGACATGCCGAACAGTTGTTTCTGGAACGTAGTCCCTAGCTTAAACCTAATCGTCCGAAAACCCCAACTGATCCACCTTCTCGTCTGCGGGTAAATGGATGCAATGTTATTACCTCCAATTCCTTTTGACATTCTCACTCAAAGCTTTGCATTGACGGGCAAAAGGGCAGTTTTGGGAATTTTTTAGCTGACACTGCAACTTTTAAAGATTCGATGAAATATCCGGAGTTTGCAGTTAGGACCCCACTTTTAGTTTATTCGGTCTGGATATGGAGAGAGAGAGAGAGAGAGAGAAAGCATGTATGTCTACTGCTCTTGCATGTTCGACTTGCTTCAGTAGACATGAAAGAGCTGTTAGGCTTTTGATGTCTTCCCCTCTCTCAATCAAAAAATTTCTAATGCACTCTTTATGACTTTTCCATCAAAGGAGTTTTACAGTTTACAGAGGCCGCCGACTGTTGGCAAACCGACAACTTCCCCCTCCTCCCAGCCTCATGGCCACAAAGATTTCTCAAAAGAAGGCATTTTATTGCTGCAGCCCCCGCTTGCGGTTTGGGGTTGAGTTTGAAAATTTGTAGGGCGCTTTGGGCCGATAAGACAAAAGGTCAGTGTGCAATCGTTTCTTCCCAGTGAACCTGGGATAGTGGTGACAAAGGTCCAGCGGTAGTACTGATAGTAGCAGCTGCAGTAGGAGTAGTACTACTAAAAGTAGTATCAAAACTGTAATGGCGCTGATATCAACCAAGAGGCAGTAGGGTGTGAATGGAGGAAATGGGGTGATACACCCTTCTTCATTGCACACGTCGCCTACAATGTTTCTTCTTCTCTTCCTCCTCCTCCTCCTCCTCCTTTTCATCCTCCTCCTTGTAAAACATGTGGACTTGTGAATAGCAGAGATGCGCGAAGGACTAGTCCACGTATTTTCCTTCTCGAGTAACACAACAGTTTCAATCTACCACCAAAGGCATGTCACAGAGAGAAAGAATGAAAGAGGAAGGAAGACCTTCCGTTCCAGAGTCAACGCTGACCCCTTGGAGTACCTGTGGGAACGGGGGTGGTGGGTTGTGAACAGTGCCTTACCTAGGAGGCAGCCCACCCAACACCGAGCTACTCTCTACCTCATCTGTAATTTTGAATAGGAGGAGGAGGAGGAGCATGATGAGGACTGTTTTGCGCTCATCAAGCTCTTGCTCACAGCCTTCGCCTGCCCCTTAGACCTTTCATCTCGGTCTCTTTAATTATGTTTTCTTGTTCTGTCCAGGAGCAGGATGGGTCTCGCTCTGGGTAGGGGGGGGAGGAGGGGGGTTGAAAGAGAGGAGCACTGCGTGTGCATGTGTGCCGGGAATTTTCTCAGTCATGAGTCCATGTGTTGCTTTCCAAACATGCGCTGCCGCCCGCAGCACATAGAGCACTCCTGGAGTGGACGAGAAACGGTCATTCAGTCGAGATTTCTCGTACCCGGTCGATGCTGTCCAGATTGCGCTTAAGGCAGGGGAGCGGGGGCAGAGTTGTAGGTTAAAAGCTAAGGGATAAAATCTTCGGCCTTGATGTTCAAACAACAGCACATTTTGCTTCTTAGACAAGGCATTCTTTTTTGCCTAATTATCCGCTATACTGGGCGCCTAGCTGTTTTACTAGTATTTAAAAGTTTCCCAATAATCACCTAAGGGAGAAAACGCGGCAAATTAGAAACCAAAATATCTTTCCGGTAACTGGACTATTCGGAGAGGCCCATCTGCCAAAACTAAGACAAAGTTCGTAGCCTAAAGAACTTTAAAAAGGGCACAATGTAGGCTACTTGAGGGGTTTCACTTGGTTGGGTGGCTCTTCCATCTTTCTCTTCTCTATGGATAGAGGGATGTTATTAGTTTAAACTATTATCTTAGCAGATAATCATACATTGTTTAAAATAATGAACATTTTCAGTGCTTCAAACTCGGTGGTTCAAGCAGTTAAGTAGACCTTAGTGTGAATTCGATGCCAAGTGAATTCCTGATGCATTTCCTGCATGTTTCGTGTTGTTTTTAGTCAATCCTTTTATTTGCAGTCAGTTATACAAAGTCACTAGTCTAAATTAGAATTCAGAATGCAGCCCCACGGATAGAAACCTATGAAAGAGAGCTAACAGATAATATCAATCCAACGCCTGCAGAAATATGGGCTAGATCGCAATCGGTAGCCAGACCCCGTATTACAGGTAGCGGAGGGTTTGTTTACTGGGGCTATTTCGTGGGGTTCCATAATCGCATCTGACCCATTTGGCTTCCGTTTTACGTTTGAGGTTAGAATTAGGGTACTGGTTAATAGATTTTGAATTTCGGGTTAGGGTTATTCCTTAAGGTTTAGGTTTTCGGGTTGCGGTTAGGGTTTGAGCGTACGAACAGGTTTCAGTATTACTGTTGGGTTTTTCAGTTAAGGCTATGTATAAGGGCTACGGTAACGTTTACGATTTCGGTAAGGGTTAGGGTTGCCGTTAGGGTTAACAGTTAGCGTTAAAGGTTGAGGTTAGGGTTAGTATAAGGGTTAAGCTTAGGATTAGGATTAAGGTCGCCGTCCGCTTCCCCCATTCCTGGCTACCAACTGTGATCTAGCCGAAATATGAATTTAGGTGACATGAATGAAGAGGCGGGGTCGCGAAGGGAATGTACGCTTGATTTTACTGAAACCCATCCCTTCAGCCATAAGGTACTTATAATGCGACGGGTAGAGCAGTGGCGAGGCGAAGAGGAGACTCAACCTCGGTTACTAAACGTTCTTGACTCAGAGAAAATGCCGGTAGACCGGTCAGCGTACCCTGGACGTCAGTGTAGTGGCTCATAGGATTGTGATGCACCTCGTTTCTATTGCCGTATGCGTCCTCCCGAAAAACAATCTGGTGTGTTTTTTACCTCGTAGCTTGTTCACTTCCTGCTAGTGCGGCCCTTATCGCACTCCCACGCATCTGAGTTCCTGGCTGACCCCAATAAAACCCCGGTTTGCACAATAAGACCAGCTCGTGTGCAGCCCATGTAGACGGGCTACTTATCTTCGTCAGCCAGAGCGTCCGAGCCCACCTCCGGTCGGCCCGACATTGTCTTGCCATCGGGGCCTGGTGGGTGGGGAAGGGGAGAGTGTACTAGCTACCGTGCAAGCGCGTCCAACTGTAAAAAAATTTACGTGCAAGTCGTTGTGCTGCGTCCGCCAACGTCGCGGCGCACATGGTGGATATCGTCGCCTGCAATGATCAAACTGTCAACTCGTAAGCGAAGGCAAACTTTCGTGATTGCTTCTGTACTGCAGTCAAGACCCCACAACACACGGAACACAGCCCAGGCAGTTGCAGAGGTCTCCTGACAGTGTGGTAGGCAGCACCTTTAACGGGCCATTTGGAACACTAAGCGCCACCTGAGTACTCGTGCGTCCGACGATGATACTTCCCTTTCCCCTCCACTGTTCCAAACTTGTAGGGGAGTATTAGGAGGCATTTCTCCAGCCTTGACTATAGGTAGAAGGTGAAAATTCGTTAGAATACTGCGTTGTCAACAGGATAGTTCGAATAAGCCTTACTTTCAGTGTTATGCAAACACTTTCATCTGCGAACTTGGGATCATCAGCGACACGGTAACTCCTTGTTCTGATACATGGGGATCAGACAATCACACATTTCGCGTTAAGGGCGCGATTATGATCAAACATTGTGCTTAAAAGAGATGTTCTCTCACAGGCAGTGACTTCGTCAGTTCTATTTATTCATACTGATGCGCAATTCTCAAGAAAATGAACATTTTCCTCAAACTATTTCACCGTTACCTCAACTTTTTGACATTGTGTAATTAGCCTTTGATGTTTTGCAAAGGTTCGGATCGTTTCGTCTACTCGTTGTGGGCCTGTTATCTCCATAACATAACCTCCATTTCACGAATTTTTGACGGCAAGGTTTTCCCGTTTAAGGAATTGTGAAGACAGAAATTGCCACGTATTCTATAACACAAAAAGAAAAAAGAATCAAAGGACAGAAGGCTAATTTCCATGCTTACTTAATTCTTACCTGAAGTTCCAAATCGTGAAAAACGGCCCCCGCCGAACCAGTTCACCTGTTGACGCGTTTGGATGCCTACTTTAACGATGCCCAGAAGCGAACTCTAGCGGTGGTCTCCAATGCGGGCTAATGGACTCGATGTGGCCTTATAATCCTTCTTGAAGAAGTTCTCGATTCTGCAAAAAAACTGTTGTTTTCCTCTTAATCTGATATTTTTATTACAGTGCTGTCGTCTGTCAGCCTTTAGAAAAAAAAGAGAGGGAAGAAGAATATAAGGACAGCCAAGGCGTGACATTGAAGTTTTGTGACACCACCAAAATAGACGCAAAGATTAATGTTACTCCCGCTCATCCAACGCTTTATTTTAGAAAAACTCCTCTCACAAAATAGAACAGTAGCTTTAGCATCGAGCTAAAAGAAGGCCTCCGAGGATTCATCGGAGCGTTTTTGAGGCCGCTATGCTGTCAGATTTCCTCCCCTGAAAGCTTCCCGAAGCAAGCTAATTGACGGTTGTTTATGTTGATTTATCTATGCGAATGGGGCAAGGTTACGAACGGGGGAATAACCTTCATGGCAAAGTTACGCCACCGTCCGAACGTGTGTGTGGTGGGAATTTGTGGGATGCGAAGGGGGAGGGACGGTGGGGGCATTCGACGTCAAGCCAGTAAATCATCGCTCCACCCCCACCCATCAGTATGTCCTCCTGCGTCCCCTCCCCTCACCTGTCCCTCGCAGTCAAACCTAAGCTCAAGTGTGAGCGCACAGTTAAGCACTGCTTAGGAGAGCTCTCTCCCCTCGTCGTTGTTAGTTCTCTCCTTACACTTGCCTCTGACAGGCGGAAAGTGGGTTCCCATGGGTGCGTGGGAGACGAAGTAATGCCAGCCTCGCCTACACAGTTTTGCCTTATCAAGAAGGCTGACTGCGTTAGCTGACTTGGCTATGGGAGCCTGCATCTGGTTAGTGATTTGGGCAAGGCTCCTTGTTGACTGTTTTTTCTGGAAGAGATTCCAAATCCCTTTTTGTCCTTTCCAGCTTCGTCGGAAAGCATTTGCAGATAAGGCGTCACTCGCTACTGCCTCCTATTAAGTAGACCGTCTTAGGCCAAAACTAACAGTCCGGTGACGAATAAATCGTCTGAGCCACTTAACTGCTTTTCCTCCTGGAATTCATTGCAACAATTATCGTACGCACCGCCGAAATTTAGAGTCATAGAAGGTGTGCTCTCCAAAGATGACAAATTACTGCGAGTAAGATGATCCGAGTTTCGGGAATCGGGCGAATCTTTCAGCAGGCCTGCACCCCAAGAACGTTCTCTGTTAAAGTTGTGGAAGAGAAGTTAGGCAGGAGGTAGTTTCATTTATTACGTTGAATTTTCGGGTTAATTCTCGAAGTTAAGGTGGGGTTTGATTGGATAGATATGGGTTTTTGCTCATTTTCCTTGACAACTATTGGCTATCAGAATGGGCAAAGGTGGATGACGTAAGACAGCAGCTTCCGAGTCCCCTTCTCCTTTGACTAATTTTAATACAGTGCCTTAAAGTCGATGTTCGGAGCTGAATAGGATCACTTCAAAATATTCTGCATAAAATGTTCTCTGGGTCGATGTTCTTGACCATCCGGAGGGACTTTCCAGACGTATCATATCACGTTTGAATTCGGACTCCTTTCAGTGAAGACGAACCGAAAATGGAACGAAGGAGATGGCCTCAGTTGACCAAAGAATGTAGCTACTATTACGCCTGCTTAACTTTAACAAGGGCGGTGAGGGAGAGGAAGTGAGAGAACTCTAAAAACTCCACTCGGGGTCCAGAAACGTCTATGACTTACGACAGCATCGGAGCGTGCCTCGGCATCCTTCGTCCGAATGCCAGGGCTGGCCTCTTTTCTCACGGTCTCACTCAATCTCGCACACTCGCTCGTCAAAATGCCTTCGGTGTTAGCGCAACACGCCCAAATTAACTTAGGCGTGAATCCGGTCCCTCTAATCAAATTCCCACACGCACGGTTGTGTGCTGACAACAGCCCGCCACCCTCCTTCCCCCAGTTCCCCGATCCACCATCCGTCGAGGAGAAGCGAGCAGGTTGGGTGGGGGGAGGAGCGGCAAGCTGGCGGTAGCAGAGAAGGTGGTGAAAACCGACGCCGGGGCGGTTAGTAGGGCTAGAAGGAGGCGGGAGAGGATGAGCTGGAAAACAATTATACCGCTGAAAATCAAATCAACGCCTTCTGTGCCTCGGTCGACTTCCCTGAGGAAGGGACGACGAGAGGATGAAACAGTATGGGCAATTGCCTGAGCCCGCGAACGATGAAAATCGAAACATTCACGGCCAGTTTCTGTTCTCGACTCGGTTGGAAAATTAGCGGAAGAGCAATGAGGAACGGGGTGTATTGTTTTGGCCTTGACTGGCTTCCTCGTCGGCCATCTTACCGTCCACCACCCCAAACCGGATTGGAGGACAGCGTTCAAACAGGACTACGAAGTCACAAGCAAGTTGTTCGCTTTGTCAGCAGAAAGGTCTTCCTTGAAAGGGTCGATGATCCGTTATTGCATCAACTTTCTGACCAACGAAAGGCCCATTTGGCCTCCCTTATAAGATCAAAACAGCAGTAAGCAGAGCTTATAAATAAAGGCCCATAGACAAACGACGTGTAGGACTGTGGCATAACCACAGGCATTCGTGGAGCACTTATATACGTTAAGAGTAGTGTCATAAGATGGGATCTGAGACAGGCAGGAAACTTAAGTCACTGGAGGGAGAAACGCGAAATGTCTAGACTCGTTAAAGCTCTTAAGGCAAACTGCATGGAAAGTACTCAACAGATCTACTTCCTGAACGCATTTACTAGCGATAAAGAAAGGGAGAAGTCGAAAGCAGATGACGATTTAATCGGGAGATGTTTTCCTAGTTCAGCTGGTTGCACACGACGACGGACCAACCAAACTTGGTTTTTAAAAGTCCACTCCCCAGTTGTCAAAAGAAGGGCAGCGCTGTTCGGTTTTAACTTTTGAACTTTCCTGGAAAGTTTCAGCAATGCGAGCGCTGATTTTCCAAGCACGGTGGGAATCGTTAACTCAAAATTATGAGACTTGCCGTCTGAGAAGGATCAGATACACGCGAACCGGTGGAATGGTTCCTTACCGTAACAGCCACTCGAGGCTTTCATTATCGAGTTTTGCTAGTGTCAACCCTATTCCTTTGTGGAGCTTTAAGGAAGTAAGAGCCTGTGGAATTAATTGGCAAAGAATGCCTTAAAAGAAGCGAAGTGGCGAGTTCCAGAAAGTAGTCGCAAAGAAGGAGACACGATCGCTGGGACAAAACTTTATAGCATGACGTTTCGGATTCCCCCTCGAATCCATCATCAGAGACAGGTTCAGATAAGGGTACGGTTGACCACTGTTCCTGGTGTCAATGTCGGCGAGGAGAATTGTCCAAGAGTCCGCACGGCTGACGAAATCCAGCAGTCAGCTACTCGACCGCGTGCGATGAGCGCGGGAGCCGATAATCTTGACCGGCACGTAGGCGCACGGCGACCGCATGACACCTGAATACCCGGCCAGTCGAGCAGTGATGCATTCGGGAGCTGCCAACTGTGGTAGACATGTACCGACCTAGCAAGTACACCCTAAAATTACTGCAACCTCTGGGAAATTTACTACCCCTATCTGGCACTGTCTCCAAGGATGGATTCGGGGGAAAATCTGAAACGTCAGGCTAATAAAGCTCTCTTTCCAGCGATCCTGTCTCCTTCTTCGAGAATGCCCTAAAATTCCTCCGCTCAAGCCGTATTTCTCTATTTTTACCGATGATCGTCGACGAAGTCCACCATGTGCAGCACGGCATAGTAGGCGCAGGACTATGACCTGTGCGCGACTCAGATCATAGTGATGGTCGACTTGCGCAGCGTCTAGTGCACCCTCTCCCTCCTCACACATCTGAATCCATTGTCAGGACAGAGCCAAGAAGATCAAAGTCGGACTCGGGTTCAGTGACTGACAAAGTCTAACAGCCCGTCTACACGTGCCACACATGATCCGGTCTCACATTCATGTGTCAAGTTTTTTTACAGGACAACGAGACGGCTCGGAGCTCATCTGGGTGGGGGTGCTGTAGAGGACACAGTAAGAAGGAACCATCCAGTCTGAATCCCAGTCGTTGACCCAGTCGCCCCGTAAGCGTGTTGAGTTCTAACCACGAGGACGAATCCAAAAAGTACTGGTTGAGCATACATCGCTGATTTCGCTAATTGGCTGTCATAACGTCCTCAACGATGGCTTTCATGCACATGTGTGCGTCAGACCAGTTTCCTTAATAGAAACGAGTGTCACTCTCGATGTGCCAAGTCTGTGCAAAGTCTATGTGATCCCAATTTGTCAAATATTTCCACTTTGTGACTCCTCTGTCCGTGAAACACGTTTTCTGCTCACACAACTTAGTTGCAAACTGTTGAGCTTTGGGCTGATTTCCTTATCTAGTCATAACAGTCAGTAGTATAATGAAAGTTCAACCATCGTTACCGACAAGGTCCACACCGTTTGCTTCACAGCAGGACAAGAGTAGGGACGGTAACTTGCGCGCGGGTCAGTTTATAGTGATGGTCGACTTACGAAGCATCTACCGCGCTCTCTCCTCCCCAATTCGGCCCGATGTCAAGACATATTCAAGAAGATCGGGGCGGGAGAGAACGCAGGTGTCGGATACGATGAAAACCCGCGCCTATACGTACCACTACAATGGCTAGGATTTTACACAACAAGAAAAAAGGAAGCGGCAGGGATCTCAGTGGGCGCGACGCGAGCCTGAAACCGGGTCCCTGATCATAGTTGTTATGGGTGCGCATTCCTGATAATGTCTGGCGGATTCCGGCTCAGCCCCTGAGTTAGTCCATCGCATCTATCGCGTGGCCCCTTTTAAGGGCGAACCCTATTAAGGACACTGGGTCACAGCGAAGTGCATATATTCAGTTCTTTTGCACTGCTTTACACGAAGGTCGTGTGGATCATACTTCTCGAATCCTCTGTATTCCATCTCATTTCGGGTAGAAACCTCAGCACTGTTGGGCGCAACAGTTATGGGAACTCTGCTGTCATTTAGCCTGGGCCTTCCTCTGCGACTTCCTTCATCAAACAATTTCTGCCGGTCTTAGTAACACAATAATCGAAGCGGTTGCCAAAACACACCCCGGGGTCTAACCTAACAGTGGGATGGTTTCATACCGCAAAATTATCACGACCGACTTCACACTTACTCAGAACAACCTGCCCCGCAGAAGACCAATGAAGTTCAGGGTAATAGGCCCACTCTTGCCAGGAGAGGACGAACTTATTCGTACGCAAAGGTTTTTTATTTGTAAGTACGATTAATATTCACATGGCTGGCTTTCGAACCTGTAACGTCTGGTTTTTGTCGTTTATTCTAGTTTATCGTTTCCCGTGATGGAAACTGTGGGCTCAACTACGAACATTCGGTCGCTGAAGGCATCGCCGTTATTAGACTGATTGAATATATCCTACAGTACATGTAAGTTCTGTGCAGTTTCAAGATTATCGATTAATTTGATCCACCAAACATAGCCAAAGTTGTTTCAGGCTGACCTTCGAGTGACATAATCCCTCATGCCCTCAACTTTTATATTTGCATTTGGTAGTGTGTGGCATTTTGTCGGCCTCATTCGAGATGAATAGCCATATCTGAAGCTAGGTGTACCCAAACGTTAATCCTCAGTGTGACCCTTATAGCTAGAGGCATCCACACAGCCGGAAATTCTAAACAATCAGCAATCGATAGGTATTATCAACAACAAAATCAGCGAACCACGTGTCCGGACTTATTGCTAGTGCCTGTACTGTCAGTACGGTGAATCGTTCGAGGTTTGTGTGTTACTGACTGTCTACTGAGAGGTTGTAAATATTACATGCTTGTTCCACCGAAACCGACGGATTTCAGCTCAAATGTTCATATTAACTTTCGGAGCTAGCCTAAAAAGCTTTGTCCCAAAGCAGTTACTTCCGGCTGGCTCATTGATTTTTGAGGAAATAAAAAAACCTAGTGAATATCAAAGTGGCTACGTCTGACGAATTCGTCGTTGGATGCCGGCCGGATGTCTAATTCATGCGAGTGAAACCCGACCCGTGAACTGCACTCCACTTGGTCATTCAGCTTGATGCTCAATCCTTTCAAGCTATTGGCTCTCACCGCCTTCGTGTGCTATCGGAGCTATTCAGTGGCACATAAAGGGGCCGTCTACCGACAGAGGAGGGGCGTTCGCAAGCTCAACGTAAAACAACGTGTGTATGCTGCCGCCGCGTGACTTAGTAACAGCAAGAGTCGGCCCCCATCTGCGGGGGAAGTGAGATGATGTCATCCGAGTTTGAAGGCAAGACCCGCCCCCCCCCCCTGCTCTGTTGTCTGAAGTCAAACGCCCCACCGGGCAGACTGCACACAGACTGATAGGCTCAAACCAGTAGCATCATGCCTGTTGCGGCCTGGGGGCACGGGAGGCTGACCAGACGCGGAGACGCGAGCGTACCCGAGGTCGCATCTAACGCAGTGAACGTCGTGCCGGAGGCGAAAAAGCCTCAGAAGAGCTACTGCGCACGATCTTCCTCCGGAACGTGCTTTAAACCATCTAATTCGTTAAAAAGCCCAAAAATTTACGACTAAGTATGACCTCCTTCTTCCCCGCCTCCCCGGGTGTAAAATTTTACTCCAAACAAGTTATGCTTATTGTGAAATGAACTCACCACATCGCTTTCCAGCTTTGAAGAACAGCACAGGGTGCTGAAACTAGAGTTAGGGTTCAGACTAAACCCGACTAAGCCCAATCACATAATCCTTATCCTAGTACTCGTCCTAGCACAAAACCTAGCCCTAACCATAAATTCCTGCAGCAAACCCAACTCTAAACGTAATTCCAACCCTCGTTGGAAGTAAGCTTGCCAGGGGTTCGTAAATTCACCTATTACGCTCATGCACCTCAAGGTCATAAACTGAATATTTGTCCACACGTAGGTGTTTCAACAAGTTTTTTCACCTCCAAAAAAATCCGCTTTGACCTTGGCTTCCTAGCCGGGGCTGGTGCAATCCCGTCATTTCTGACTCAGACAGTAAACGCAAACAGCCGTCACATCGCACGGTGGCTGTTTCCCGGGCCAGATTCTCTAAACTGAGAGGCAATATGTCCCAAGGAAGAGCAGCACGCCATTAAAATCGGGTTCTATACCAATCGATATTGCAGCCCATGCCCAGTAACTTCGCTCATCTGGAACACACACTTTTGCAGCCGTATTAAATATTTCCTATGCTTTTCTGTATATTTCATGCTTGGGAGGTCTGTCAGAAAGCCAACTATATCACTTTTTTCCCCAGTTGCCCAATAACTTTAAAAAGGAAAAACTGTGTTCTGTAAAATAGGATTTCGTCGGGAAAAGAACTCACAAACAACACAAACTCGACCACTGTAGATTTACAAATACGCGCTTCTTCTGTGTCGTCTGTAGACAAGGCGTGATTCTACGTTGTTCGTGTAGATGACAATTTTGTTTTCTTCCGCTAGGGATGAGGTAAAGCGATGGCGTCTCATTAGACACCCTTCTATTTGCGAGCTTCCAAAGCCCCGAAGGTTGGCCTGGAACACTGACCCAACAATCACTGAAGCCATTACGGAGGCACTGGCTGAAATCGACAGGTATGAACTGTCTGACATCTTTACTCACCTCTACGTACGCACCCCTGTCTTCTGTCCCCTCATGACTTCCATTCAAGGCCTCTACGCGGACGTAGACAAAACCCTCATTTGGTTCATTTTTTCGATTATCAGCCGGACAGGGCACCTTGGGACTGAAATATGGGGCTGATGCTGGCCCTGTTATTGGAGTATTCGTTTGAGGGCTGCTATATGGGCAGCACCATCTTGGTTTTGGACATTAACTCCTTGAACACCGTGTCTAATCCTTGATGCGAGTTGCTCACGGAGGGGCAGTTCCGGGATTTTGCCGTAGGTTGTCCCACACTTGAAGAAGGAGCCACGATCGCTGGGACAAGGGCTTTATTAGCCTGACGTTTTGGATCCCCGCTCGAACCCATCACCAGAGACAAAAGCAGATATGGGTGGTCCATGCACAAGGGGCTGTAATATTTATAGGATGCAGTCGTCATGCTACCGCATACCTATGAAGATGCACGGCTCCTCCCTCTATCAGGGATCGTTGAGCTTGGTGTGTTGACTGTTTGATGGCCGACATTCGCGTCGCCAATCACTGCAATTTCATCAAGTGTGTTGCATGTTGGTGTTATGACCGCTCAACCACCTGACCCACCGACCCTGGGGTTGGGAAAAGTATTCACCTGTACGCTCCCTGTGTGGCTAATTGCTCCGCCTAGGCGAAGTCTCAGCACCGAGTATGGAAGGGGAAGGTCATTGCACTTGTTAATGGACTAGGGGCCAGTAAACCATAATTCCAACAGCTCCCGGCTCACGCGGTTTTCACCTCTTGCGAGAATTTCGGCCACATCGAATTTGAATGTGTGGCCGGATTTCATCGAATGAGCCGCAACTCGAGAGCTGACGTCATTTCTGCGCACCGCTGCAGCGTGTTCGACCATTCGCGTTTGGAGCTGGCTTCCGGGTTCTCCGACGTAGTTGCTTTGTCCGCAACTGCACCAGATCCGATAAACGACTCCAGACGTTTCTTGCCGCGGCAGTGGGTCCTTCGGTTTCATTACCGGACGCCTGATGGTGGCCTCCGGTCTGTGTGCAACTGCCACCCCAAGAGGGGCGGAAAGGCGGCCGACATCTTCCGAAACGTTCTTGACCTACGGAAGCGCTCGCCAAAACTTGGTGTCCATGCGGTTAGGTCTTTCGTCCCCTTTTGAGTATTTACCGGTTGACGAAGTTGCGCGGGTAGCCATTGGTTTTGAGACCCGTCGGAGGTATTGTAGGTCGGCAACCTTGTCTTCGGGCTCACTGCAGAGCATTTCGACACGCCGATAGAGCGTCCTTACACAACTGCGTTTGTGGCTGATTGGGTGGTTGCTGCTGAAGTTCAGTACTTGCATCGTATTTGCCGCTTTCCCGCACACTTTGGTTTTTAGTCCACCACAATCTTAGCGGCATACGGGGACATCCAGGAAGGCCAGCTGGTTGTTCTTTTCCTCCTCCAACGTAAATTGTATGTCCAGGAAGCCCGCATTCAGATGTTCCTTGAATGTCAACAGTTGATCCTGATCGATAACGACGGAGGTATCATCCACATACCGGGCCCAGAACTTCGGTTTGTGGTGTTGAAAGACCAGCGACTCTAACCGTTGCAGGACTGCCTCGGCGATGAATCCCGAAATCGGCGAACCCATTGGTGTACCCTTCACCTGTTCGTAGATCGTCCCGTCGAACGTGAAGTACGTCCTGAGAGAGAACTGAAGGAACTGAAGGACTTGGGCATGTCTGAGGTGATTCGCCGTTTCATCGTATTTGCCTTGTAGAAGCAGCTCGATTGTCTCGGTCGCCAGGTCCTGGGGAATGGAAGTAAAACTGGACGTAACATCAAAAAATTCCATTACCTCTTTTGGATGGAGGCTTACCCCTTTGAGTTTCTCCAGAAATTGTGCTGACGAAGAGACCGTGGTGTCTGACTCAGCGGTCAGGGACTTGAGACGCCGGAACAGCCACTTAGCCAGTCCGTACGTTGGGGTTCCTTTAAGCGACACGATGGGTCGGAGAGGAACGCCCTATTTGTGCACCTTAGGGAGGTCATAGAATCGAGCCAAAGCCCTATCTTGGGGTCTCGCCATGCGTCTGTCGGACGGTGTTATTGCACCCGAGTTCTCCAAGGCCAACAACGTAGCATTAATTTCGCGTGTCAGAGCTTTTACAGGGTTCGTTGCACATGGGAGATAAAACTGTCGGTCTTCTAGTAAACCTTTGGCTTTTTGAAGGTAGTCTGTCCTGTCCAGTACAACCGTGGAGCGTCCTTTGTCCGCTGGCACGATAACTAGGTCTTTGCCGGCCTTGAGTTCTCTAAGCACATCACGTTCGACCTCGAAAAGCACTTACCGCGACCTGTGGGCTATCTGTAGGCACGTGTAGCTACTTGGATGTTAATCGTCGACTGCCCGTGAACCACTGCGTATCCATGAATGTAAGCCCTCATTGTGAATAAGGTACTGAGACCAAGGATAGACGAGATATGTTGGCAGTCGCAACATGGTATGATACAACAAAAATTACAGGACGTTACCATTAAGGAAGTTTATTCGGTGTAGGCTGAGTGAGTTGTGAGCCGTGTATAGGAGCGAACAGAAAATGCATGCGAGTTGACCTCCTGAGGGCGCGTGCCAGTGTCCCCTTCTAGAAGGAGATTGCTCCTGTAGTCGATGCCCTGGCGCTCGCGATTAGCCTGTCAGTTCAGCTGCGTTGGCAGACTTTTGCATCCCGAGCTTCTATCCCATGCATCAAAACTGGTGGTGGTGGTGGTAGTAGTAGTAGTAGTAGTAGTAGTAGTAGTAGTAGTAGTAGTAGTAGTAGTAGTAGTAGTAGTAGTGGTAGTGGTGGTGGTGGTGGTGGTGGTGGTGGTGGTGGTGGTGGTGATGGTGGTGGTGGTGGTGGTGGTGGTGGTGGCGGCGGCGGCGGCGGCGGCGGCGGCACTGTCATTTGGAGTGGGTGCTTGGCGCATAAGGCGAAGCCGGTTGGGCAGGGAAATATGGAATCGCTGTATTAAACGTGATCCCGCGCCAGATTCCGGGGTGGGATCAGGGTTACGATGGTTAGTAGCTGCTAAGGTTGGAGGTTGAGAGGATTAGTTTTAAAGTAAGGGTTAAGGTCAAAGTTGTGACTCGTAAATAAGTACCCCTGGAGTTTAGCGCGACGTCCCCTGTAACACGGGAGTTGCATATTTACGTGCCCAACCTGAAAGTTTGCTAAATTTGGAAAATGAGGTCGGAAATTAGTGCAGAAATCCACGTTCCTACGTAGCACGTAGCCGACCAACACTTCAAGTTACAGTTCCACTAACAATGCGTCAGCGGAAAGTGCCAACGAAAACGCAAATGATAATTTCATTTTGTCGCCCGGCCGTTCCCCCCCCCCACTCCACCGTCTCGGCCCCTCATCGATGCTCATGGTTGATGTCAGTCGCGTGGATAATATTTGGTTAGGAGTCTGCCGGTGGGACCGTGAAGACCGCTCAAAACTGGAGTGTGATATCGACCTATTCTCCGACGATGTTAACTGCAAAGACAAGGAAGCAATGGACCGTCAGCTCCTGTGATACATTTTTGTTCTCAGTTATGCTCGCAAAATGCGCAGCCTTGCCTAAATCAGTAAAGGCGGCATCTCAAGAGCTGAATATTCCGTTACGACCTGGGTTGGCTGGTTCCCTTATTTTAGGCGTATCCATAGGTATGCGGTAGCATGGCGACTGTATCCTATAAATACTGCAGCCGCCTCTGTATGAACCACCCGTATCTGCTTTTTTCTCTGAGGATGGGTTCTAGCAGGAATCCGAAACTTCAGGCTAATAAGACTCTTGTCCCAGCGATTGTGTCTCCTTCTTCCTTGCATTAAGCTCCTGCCTACCAACTTCCCTCGATGCCTGTTTGGTTTCAAAAACTATCGGAAGTAAGTGCAACAAACCCACTTGTAGACTTTTCCTTCATCAATGAACCTATAATACGCAACTCCGTTTGTGTTGCAGTGATTGTTGATTTGACAGAGTAATATCTTCATTATCTTTCGGGTTCCTACGCATGGGACTGGTATTGGAGGAGGGTGTCTAGAAAGCGTCGTCTGTCCTTTTTCTCCTTCCCAATTGTAAATGCGGGACCATCGGGTCAACGTACTCCCTATTATGGTCAGCAGTGAAACAGGTTCACTCTAGAAAAATGCGTCCAATATTTAGACTGGTGCACTATCGAATGTCCGGCTTTCGAAATCCTAACACACAGCTCCTTTTAACGGTCATGTGCTTGGTTTCATTTGAAGGACAGTTTAGTCAGATATGAATACCGGTGTTTGTCCGATGACAAAAGCAGACGGAAGGCCGTTTGGCGAGCCCGGTTGCAGGTGATCTATCGTGGACGCGAACTAATAAGGTATTAAATGCCGTGGGTTTTATGGTCGAAAGATAAGCCCACCGAAACCCACGTATCTCCCCGCTAGCGGTAGCTGAAGTAACTTTTACAAAAGCCGGCCTTCTTGCAGTCTTCTTAAGATTGATAGTCCGGACACTGCGTTTCAGCCAGGGTGGTCCGCGGATTAATTGGCATGGTTGCCTCACCCGTCCGAAAAATGGAGTAAAAATGTCTACCCGGCCGTCCACTGAGGAGGCCTAAGAGCCAACGCTGGCGTCTGCAGGCAAGCAAAACACTAGTATCCAGGGCAGCGTACTCTGCAAGAGGGTGAGCAACAGGGGGGGGAGTGAGAGACTTCTTTCAGGACAGGGCACGGGTGATCTTGCACTAACGTCCCGGGTGGACCTAGTGTCAGGGTTAGGGTTATTGGGGTGAGAGTTAGAAGGGTTGCGTTTGGTTAGGTTGGGGTTAGGCTTAGAGGCGTTAGTGGTCAAGTTAGGATTACGAGAGTTATGGTTGAGAGGGTCAGTGCTATTGTTAAAGTTACAGTTGGTGGGCTAACTCAAGAAATGTCAGCCGAAATTCCGAAATGCGCACTCGTTTCGAAAAGATTAATTAAGGAGGGTTGTAAAACCAGTCAGCCTGCAACATAATTCTATAATATTTCAGTTACCTGAGGATGTCGGCTTTTGAATGAACTCTTTTCAGGCTGCATGCGAAGACTACACTCTGTAAAAATGACCACTTAAGCAGCATGCATTTGTATCATTGATTTTTGATGCCCCAAAAAGTCCAATTATAATTTATGGAAAACATATATAAAAATTTCATTCTTTTACTCATTCGGCAGATAATTACGTCTTCTTCTAATTTTATACTCGAAAGAGGGACATAATTTGGTTTTAAAAACGTTTCTAATTGTGGGACTTTTAAATACCGTTAAATGGCCGCTCATAAATCGTCATGTTTCTGCATTTACCAATGTGGGTTGTAAAGTTAACAATATGGATCAGATCCACTGCTAAGTTCTATGAACCCTGCAAGGTCCTCCTTTACCGTAGAGAAATGTGTGGTTTTCCGTATGCCGAAAATATACGGCTTGTAGTCTGGAAACCCTGAATCAAAATGTAACGGTAGAACGGATTCAAAATAAATCGGGAATTGAAAAAGTTTGAAAACCGAATTTTACCCTACCTTTAAGTAAAAATCTGCAAGAAGACGTAATTTTCTGCGGAATACGTAAAAGAATGAATATGTTTATGCATATTTTCCATGAAGTTTAGTTGAATTTTGAAGGGCATTGATAATCAATGAGAAAATTTCATGCCACTAAAGTAGTAATTTCTTACAGAGTATAGTTTTTGCATGCAGCCGGAAGGACGTTCATTCGAAAGCCGGCATTCTGAGGTAACTGAAATATCATAGAATTATGTCGCAGGCTGACTAGTTTTACAACCCTACTTAATCTTTTCGAAACGAAAACGCATTTCGGAATTTCAGTGGACATTTCATGAGTTAGCCCACCTGCTGTAGTGTCAGGGTTAGTTCTATGGGTAGTGCAGGGTTGCCTGTCGCCCTTCGAGGCCTTAAGGTTTGTGTGTGTCTGATATGCCGTGATCCAGCGGACCGTAGCTCTCGCAGCCCGGTGTGCGTTGGCAGCTGGTTCCCTGCCGGTCGATGCTTTGTGCTCCCGCGGGGTATATACAGGTCGTGATTATGGTTGAACAGTCATCTGCCTCTTTCTGATCCATTTTCGTTGTTGGTTAAGATCCTAGTCAAGTGTTTTTATGGACCAGGGGGTGTGGTGGTACGCCTGGGTGCGGGTTTACGCCATGCCAGCCACCTACTGTCTCTTTCACCTCCGGTCTTCTTGACTTGCTCCCGACACTGGGCCCAGGTGGGGAAGGAAGAGAAGGTGCGGTAGATGCTGCGCAAGTCTACTATCACTGTAAACTAATTCACACGCATGTCACCATCCCTGTTCTCACCCTGCTGTGGAGCACATGGCGGACAGCATTGGTCACGACAGGATTAGGGTTCGAATAGTTAGTGGTAGGGTTAGGGTACTGAGGATTAGAATCAGGGTTAGGGCTACGAGGTTTAGCGTTAGGGTCAGGGTCGGGACCAGGATTGGTGTTAAAATTAAGACAGAGGTTCGGTTTGCTGTCAGAGTTGGCGCTTGAATGTTAGGGCTGGCAGGGTAGTGGCTATGGTTAGTGGGGTCAGCATTAAGGTTGGAATTAGTAAAGTTATGGTTATGAGAGGTCGTGCTATGGAGAAGATAGTTTATGTTAGGAGGGCTAGGGAATTAGGGTTAGGTGCAAACGGGTTGGTGTTAACGTCCGGGTCGGTGGGGTTGTGGGTAGGATAAGTTGTGTTATCATTCGATCGTCTCATACGTGATTTCTGGTAAAGGAAGTTTTATGGGCTGGGCAGTAAACTGCTAGACAGTAAACTGGCAGAATTAAAGAAAACACAAAAATCGCCTGAATTTATACCGAAAAACTTATCCTACGCTATTGTACGACAACGGAAAGGAGAGTAGTAATTCAACAATAAACAAAAAGTAAATTTTACAAAATAGCGAATTTTGAGTGAAGACGTGAGGTCTTGGGAAGTAATCGTTGTTGCCAGTGTAATTTCCGCAACAGACTGTAAATGTATGCCAAGATAAAACCGCATAGGACACGAACCAGAGTCTACTGACAGTTAAGTGGTGTCCTTCTCTATACCGTTGCCGAATTAGGGGTTGTGGGGTTAAGGTTAGTGTCAGGGTTGGGATTAGGGTTAAAAGCGAGACACGGAAGTAGATGTCAGTTCGGCCGTCGTTATCGACGATATCCACAGGAGGGTATGCGCAAAGGTATTGACTTGGGCAGAATGCTGACAAGGGGAACCAATTACGGAGGACATTGCGTCTTGACTGACTGTTTTACTACTCCCTCTACATCTGTCTTTACTGGAACGACAAAGACAACCTCGGTACTCTTCACGCCTCTTGAATTGCACATTTTTGGCCCCTTCAAACAGGATCTTAGGAGTTGTTTGCGGACGGCCGTTAGCTTAAGGAGGTTCGATCTGTTCGCGTTCTTCTAACTGGGTCCCGGCATGCAGTCTGACGTATTTTGGATGTAGTCCGCTGTTCAGTTCGGGATTCTGTCTCGCAACCGAGTCCGGCCCCACCTAGGGCAGCAGGCGTGGATTTGGTGAAACCGACCTCAAACAGGTATCTGACCCCACTGTCTTCATTCTGCAGAGTTAGCGTGTTAGTTGACTGTAACTCTCTCGGGAGTTTGCTGCTGACCGACTGCAATGGTGTGTGAGCTTTCGTCACGCAGTCCGCCAATGTGCGCCACGCACGACCTGGTCCCCACAGCATTACCAGGCTTTCATGAGCATGTCTCTGATTTCACATGCGTGAGCATGCCATAGGGTCCACACTAAGAAGGAGTCGCTCAGTTTCCCGTACATTCCAAAATACCCCACGAGAACTGAGTTGCACCCTTACTACTCACGACCGCAAAATGTGCAATCCTGAGATCAACAGACTCAGAGTAGGGCTAATAGATTGCCTGAGAAATCGCAAATTCGGTTCTGTGGACGACAGTTGGGTTACAAAGACTTTCCAAATATAGGTTTTATGGATTCTATGGAAATCACAAACCTGCAACGTGTATTTCGTCCCATCTCAATTGTGGCCGTCGTGCAGGTCGTAGAAACCACAGACGAAGCAGACTTCGTGATAACATTGTGCTTGACTCCCCACTGGGTCTGACGCAGCGGTGCCACAACCAATCGAGTTACCGGCAGATCCACTCATGACCTGTCCTGGAATGCTTTTAGGTCACTTCATCCTGTCGCGGCGTAGAATTCCTGAATATATTCAAAAGGACTCTGTAGCTTATCTCAGTGAGTGACCGATGTAATGAAATGTTGGCCGCAATTCGGAAATGTGTTTTCGATTAAGAAGGATTAGTTAGGTGGGGTTATAATATTGATTACCATGTGCCATGATCCTATAATACTCCGGACTCGCCAGGATGTTAGATTTTGAATACATCTCTCTTCGACCTCATGCAGAAACTGTACTCGGTAAAAAAATAAGTATTTATATAGCATGCATCTGTCACATTGATTTTCTATGGTCTTATGAAGTCAAATATATATTATAGACAACATGCATAAACGTATGCTCAATTCCAATAATTTAGTAGAAAATCACGTTGTCTTCACAATTTATACCCGAGGAAAGGATATATTTGGGTTTTAAAAGTTTCTGACTATAAAATTTTAAAGACCGTGCAGCATCCATTTATGCGGCATCGTAACTGTTCGTTTACAAATGCTTCTCATGAAATGTGCAGTATAACCGTCATTCATTGCAAAATTTTCTGAACTCTTTATGATATCTCCTTAAAGGCCTAGATTTTCCTCATGCCCAAAGCATGCACCTTGTATACTGAGATCGCTAAACGCCAATGCAATGGCTAATCAGGCTCAATATCATTCGGGGATTGGAAGACTTGTTCAAAACCTAAACATACCCTTTCTTTGGGTATAAAATGTGAAGACAACGTGATTTTCTACCAAATGAAGAGATGAGAGCGTGCTTTTGTGCATGTTTTCTATAATATATATTCGACTTTATAAGACCATCGAAAATCAATGTGAAAAATGCATGCTACAAAAGTTGTCATTCTTTACCGAGTGCGGTTTCTGCATGAGGTCGAAGAGAGGTGCTTTCAAAATCTAACATCCTGGCGAGTTCGGAGTACTATAGGATCATGGCTCATGGTAATCAATATTATAGCCCCACCTAAGTAATCCTTCTTAATCGAAAACGCATTTCAAAATTTTGACTACCACTCACTGTATGTGCGTCTCTAAGATTGGATATCTTCAAAATTTGTGTTACTGATTGAACACTGAAACAGTTTGTTCACTACTCTGAGCTCTCGAACTCGTGTACGAGTTCGTCTTCAGAGGTGACAGCAGTAACAGAACGAGCCAATCAGCGGTCAGTGACGCAGGCCTTGAGATGACCGTGCAGGGCTCTCTATGCCGATGCCTAATCGATAAATTGCTCGATTATTCTCATTCGAGACGGGGGCTCCAATCAGCTCCCAGATTGTCTCCTTTCCGGTGTTGACGACCATCTTGACGGCTGAGAAGTTGAAATCTTAACCCATTTTGAAGGTGTGGGCAGCCACTTGCGATAATTAGTCGCTCCGTCGCACAGCCAGCACATGTATCTGTATGCATGATCCGAGTATGCGTTCAGTTTGACTTGTGTAGTTACAAGGACAGTCTAGGTACGTGGTGCCACACATTACCCCCAGACTGCTCCTTGCCACCTTGTCGTTCCTTGATTTTCATGACCCTGCTGGATATGTGAGCTTTTGGCCGGTGTGCAATTCCGGCACCTATTCTTGCAGTAATGTGCCCTGTCGCATCTGAAAAGTCCTTGTTCTGTTTCTGCTATCATCTCTCTCATAATGAACTCCTGTAGGAGTTCGAAAACTCGGAATAAAGAACAAACTATTTCGGTGCTCGACCAGTCTTTTTCCTTACTCGTTTATGCCTGAAACTCGAATATTCACCTCCATTCATGCATGCTACTGTTTCAGGATCGCAACAAATCTTGATATGCACGTTCTGCGCTTCCAAAAATTCGGCAGAGAGTTCCCGAAAACCGTGAACATGAGTCCGGACTCCTTCATACAACTGGCGCTTCAGCTGACACACTTCAAGTAAGTGTACTACATATACCGAGAGGACCTAAGAACAGACCCTTCAGATATGAACATCGGCAGGATTTTCTTCGTACTCTGGAAACTTCGAGTGCGCCGGCTCCTAGACAGTTGAAAGTGACTTAGGTTGTGACCTCGTGGAGCAATAAACACCAGTTCACAACTGTAGGTTTGTATAGTTAGTAACTAAATAGTTCGTCTAGCAGAAAAGTACTTGCATGTTTGTTTGCTTTGCTGAAAGAGACAAGCCGAAATTATTCCAACCACAGTCTAGATACCATCATCCGTCGTCACCATCCAACCTGCTTTAGCGATTATCCATATGCTGTTAGAGTGTCAAATTCAGATTATACGCGATTATTCCGATGTCGCTGGTACTATATAGCTCCATCGCTTGACCCAGATTCATTTTCGCATCGTGATCCAACTGCTCTAAGTCACTTTCCACCCTCCTTCCATACAAGTGGCCTTATCTGCCTAAGGAGCCTTCATTAAATCGTACTCCTCACTAGTGAATTTCTTGTATAAGCTTGCTGTAGTTCTTCTGGGACTACAAAGTTCTTTATTTCTTAACGCTAAGCTTGGACATTTTAAAATGTTTAGAAAAATTTTGGCAGTTAGCTGCAGAACCTCATTCTTTTTAAGTTCAATTAATAAAATAAGAGTTTATGTAGATAGAATGAAATTAGACATTAACTGACATTTGGTGGGAAACCTACCTTATATTCACTTGAAAGCAGCCTAAACTCGTAGCTTGGTAGGAGACACGAGAATAGGAACCCCTTGTAATGCAGGCGTCCTTTCACTACATTCTAGAGATTAGGGTTAGGTTTAGGGTTATTGACGGGATTATGGTCAGGGTTAGAACTAGGACCAGGATTGGGGATGCGGTCAGGGTTGAGATTATGATTGGGAATAAAGTCAGGGCTGGGGTTAGCGAAGGGTCAGGGCTAAGTTTAAGATTAGGGCTAAGACTGGGGTTGCAGTTAATGTAAGGGCTAGTTTTGGTGTTTGGGTTAGGATGCGAGAATTGCCAGCCTTCCCGAAATTCAGTCCATGACCGCCTTTATTGTGATTGGGGGCGGTCCCTATCCCTGTATCTTATCCGCAGTTCTCCTGTGAACACTTCCTCGACTTAAGTTTACTCTTGACTCTTCGTTTCTTATACCACACGTGGTTCTATATCCATCGGGCCGAAATCAACAATAGTCAAAATTCAGGGAAGTCTTTTGCCCGTGATGACTTTATCCGGTACTTAAGCACCCTCAAGATAACTCATTTTTATTTTCTCCACGATTTCACGAAACAAAAACTGCGTGCTGGCGGGCTTTGTCCTCAACATATCTGTGTCTCTTGGGTGGACTGTCACGCACTACTTTATTAATAAACTTTAAAGTCTCAACTTCCTTTTCGATAAATTTCCTCTCATTTTCTTTGATTCAGGCTTCATGGCTACCTGGTGGCCACCTACGAGAGTGCTTCAACCCGGCGCTTTCGACTGGGACGTGTGGACAACATACGCGCGTCTTCAATTCCTGCACTAAAATGGTGTCGTGCGATGACGGTGGATCGAGCAGAGCACTCCGTAAGTCTAACGCCCCAACACTCTTATCCCCTTTTTGTCTGAAAAGTAAATTATGCACGACTAATTTGTGACCACTTTTGGATGCGGACTGCGCCAGCTCGAACCATGCTGCCATATGGCCTCATCCGAGTATTGGGCCACCCTTTAAAATCCCTGTCGCTTGCCCGTCATATATATGTATATATGGAGAGTATAGCATTATTTACAAAGACAAGGAAGACCGGAACAGCCATTCCTGGCTTATTTGCCGTTATCAGCTAGTCATACCCAACCCAAAATGTAGATCACTTGAGATTCGAGCTGGGGATATTTAGTCATGCAGTTTGACACTCAACCATTGAGCTACGGACCCGTTGGCCTGCGAGGGTTCTAATATGAGTTCCAAGACACGATGGAATAAGCCCATCTCGTAACCCGATTGGTGAGTGTCCATCTGTCATAATTTATATTCCCGATCACAACCGACAGGACAACGGGCCCGAGGCTCGATGGTAGAGTGTCGAACCCAATGACAAAAGATCCCGAGTACGAATCCCAAGTGAGCCGCACTTAGGGTTCGGTATGGCTGGCTGACGACCGCTAATAAGCCAGAAATGGCTACTCCGGTCTCCCTTGTGTTTGTCTGTGCCATCCCATATATATATATATATATCGCGTTCATCATCTCCCGAAGAAGACGAAGAAGTAGAGAGGGCGAATTCATGGACCATATTGTATTCGAACTGACGTTTCGGAAACTTCCTCGTTTCCATCATCAGAGTAGCGTAATTGTTGCACTTGCCGGTCTTGAGTTGTTCAGTCTTGCCGCTTGCCTCGTATTATAGCCGTGCTGGACGCACGAACTTTGACCTGCCTGTTTGCCGCTGACTGGCTTAGACCTCCCAGGGGCTGACCGCTGACAGGCCTGCGTGACCTTTGGGGTCGGCGTAATTGTGGTCAAATCAACGTGCCGCTTAGCCTCTCCCACGTCAGCCGGTGGACTGATCGGTCGTTGCTGTTCAGATGAGCAGCATTCAGCTTCGCGGGCGCATCGGTGAGACAGTGTTCGGCTTTGGTCACATGACCTCTGGGCCCCAATTCTGCTCTTTTCTGTGGGCGTTGACTCTCGGTCCCGCGTGCTCGCTTGCCTTACTGGTCTTGTCCGGACTGATCCGAGCCTTGTACGAAGCGCCTGGTATGCGGGATGTAGATCTATAGCTCGGTTGAGTGTACTAGTCGAGGACCAACTTTCGAGCACCAGTCTGGCCATCTTCTCATTGGCTCGACCAATTACCCTCGCTTTCTCAAAGGCAAAATCGTGGTTCAGTTCTCTTATGTGGCCATAGACCAAAGACAGCTTGTCCTTACGATTGATTGCAAGTTGGTGTTCGTGCAATCTTGTACCGAGGCGTTTGCCCGTTTCACCAACATACCTTGCATTGCAATTTAGGCATGGTATGCTGTAGACCACCGCCGATTGTTCTGTTGTTGGTAGCGGGTCTTTGGGCTTCATGATTTGCTGTCTGATGGTGCATTCTGGTTTATGAGCCACGCCAATCCCAAAAGGTTTCAGGATTCTTGCCGTTGCCTCTGATACGTTCTTCACATAGGGTATTGAGAGCCAGAACTTGGGCTTTTCTCCACTCGACCGCTCAAAATGAGGCTTTTTGAGGCAATTGCGTATGAAGGACTTCGGGTAGCCGTTTGCTTTGAAAAGGGCGTGTAAGTAATTCATCTCCTCCTTCCTCCCACTGTCGTCGCTACAGTGTGTTTGAACACGTTGAAAGAGAGTTCTGACACAACTGCGTTTATGACCAACAGGGTGGTTGCTTCGGAAGTGGAGGATGCGCCTGGTATTTGTTGCCTTACGGTAAACCGTTGTCCTTATCTTCCCGTCTGTCAATCTCGTAACTTGTACGTCCAGGAAGGGCAACTGATTGTTGACTTCCTCTTCCATAGTAAACTGAATATCGGGAAAGATGGAGTTCAACAATGCCTTGAAAGCCTTCACCTCGCTCCTCTTGATTACAACGAACGTGTCGTCGACGTATCTGGCCCAGAACTTCGGGGGGTACGAGCTGAAGACCTGCTGCTCGAGTCTCTGCAAAACTGCTTCGGCAATTAGTCCAGACAGAGGCGAGCCCATCGGTGTCCCCTTCTTTTGCTCGTAGACTTGGTCGTTGAATGTAAAGAAGGTCTTAAGACACAGTTCTAGGAGCTCGATGATGTGTGCTCGTTTGAGCTGTTGGTCGGTTTCATCATACTTTTCCCGGAGAAAGCCATTAATAGTGTCGATAGCCACCGCGGGTGGGATGGAGGTGAATAATGAGATCACGTCAAATGACACCATCACCTCATCTGCCTCCACTTCCAGATGTTTGATGCGCGTCAAGAACTCTTCAGCTGACTTCACTGTCCACTGCGAATCCTTGGTAAGGAAACAAAGTCGCTGGTACAGCCAATTTGACAGCCCAAAGGTTGGAGTACCACGTAAGGAGACGATGGGGCGTAGCGGTACCCCCTGCTTGTGGACCTTCGGTAGGCTGTAGAAGCGCGCCATCGCGGTATCACTGGCTTTTGCGGCCAACGCCTCCCTTCTCGTAAGAGCTCCCGCCTTCCTCAGCTTGCCGATCGTATTGTTTATGCTGTTTACGAGCTTTTTAAACTCGCTGACGGTCGATGGCACATAAGCTTCCTTGTCCAGCTCGAGCACGCGGGACCGAGAGTCAACGCCCACAGAAAAGAGCAGAATTGGGGCCCAGAGGTCATGTGACCAAAGCCGAACACTGTCTCACCGATGCGCCCGCGAAGCTGAATGCTGCTCATCTGAACAGCAACGACCGATCAGTCCACCGGCTGACGTGGGAGAGGCTAAGCGGCACGTTGATTTGACCACAATTACGCCGACCCCAAAGGTCACGCAGGCCTGTCAGCGGTCAGCCCCTGGGAGGTCTAAGCCAGTCAGCGGCAAACAGGCAGGTCAAAGTTCGTGCGTCCAGCACGGCTATAATACGAGGCAAGCGGCAAGACTGAACAACTCAAGACCGGCAAGTGCAACAATTACGCTACTCTGATGATGGAAACGAGGAAGTTTCCGAAACGTCAGTTCGAATACAATATGGTCCATGAATTCGCCCTCTCTACTTCTTCGTCTTCTTCGGGAGATGATGAACGCGATATAATGTCTGGACCTCGAATCTTTACGCATATCGATATATATATATATATACAAGGCCACGTGTTGAAATCCCAGCCGCCCACCCCGTCATACAGACACAGCCAAACGGCAGGCCATCTGCTGGGATTCCAGCAGATAGTCTAGTCTACCCCTGGCCGAAGGTAGTATGGTCTCCTGACTGCTTCTACGCAGGATATGCACTCACAATACCTGTACTGCAGAAACTTTCAGTATTATTGATCGATTCTGTCAAAAACAAAGGATTAATCACCTCTCGGACCGGGCCATGGGCCAACAGGAGAATTTGTATGGCCAAGAAATGTTGCAGTGCCCTGTGCCCGCTTTGCGGCTGCTGGTTGGGCTCGAGAGAGAGCCCATAATGCACAACGGAACGAGTGAGTTCTGTAAGAACGATCGGTGAGCGCCCCCTACCATTGTATATTCCCGATCGAAACCGACGGATCAACGGGCTCGTGGCCCAGTAGTTAGAGGCGTGGACTTCTAACTAATAGGTCGCGAGTTCGAGCCCCGGGTGTTCCACACTTCGGAGTTGGGTACGACTGGCTGACGACGGCTAATAAGTCAGAAATGGCCATTCCAGTCCCCCTTGTCATTGTCGGTAATACCATTCTGTCTAAAATATAAACTGTATAAAATTGTCAGGTGGTAAGGCGTCTACATTTTCTCAAGCCAGTGGACGACAAGTAGTTTCAGGTCACACTGTCGAAAAATCAGCAGGTGTAGATGGTAGTGAAGAACAGATGGTCTAACCGAAATCGTAGAAGAATAGATAATCACTGAGGACGTTTATTGGGCGTCTGGCATTTCAAACAGCAACACGAGCTGTGCATCGACAACGGATGGCGAGTTCGGCAAGCAAGCCCCGTCTTCTTTAACAAAAAATTTGAAACTTTAGCATCTACAGACAGCAGATCAAATCACAGCCACTCTATAATGCCTTGACTGGAGAGTGTCCGGCCATGAAGGTGCAGTTAACTTGAATCTTGTTTGCTCGCAGTAGGCGTTCAAACAGGTGAACCAACGACCTTAGTCTTTAGACATCCCTCCGTACAGGAGGACATTAGTCAAGGACGACTACTTTTGCGGACGGGAATACGGACCTCCCCTCGCACTACGGGTGGTCTTACGCCAAATTCCAGGGATTATTTGTTTCCGTGTCCTAACTGTAACTGTAATTTAAAATAAAGTTTTTTGGAAATGGCGCGTTCGTGAATTAGGATGGAATGCTCCGCAAAGTGGTCAGATTTCAAGACTTCTTGGGGCAAACTCTCGAATATAAGTTGGCCCAACATCTGCATGCTTCTTATAACTGCGTAATAAAACTATCACTCGCCCCTAATGTGTCCATTTACAGTGTCCCCCAATAACCGTTCTAAGTGGACCCCAGCGCTATTTTAGACAAGGGACATCTAACCTAATTTGCAGGGCCGACCCTGAAAAATGCAGTGCTGTAACTTACAGTCTACGACGCTGTTGACCAGGGATTTAACACCACCTCCTGATTGCATACACTGTGTGTTAATTGGCATCCTGCTGATATTCAGTCTAACTTGTTGATCGGGAAACGGTTATTTGAAGATGACACTAAGGATGCTGAAAAGACATGCCTCGCTTCAATGTCCTCCCTGCAGGGTCGGCGTTTGATAGTCCTATTTGCTTCTGGTCATTCTACCTGATCCATGGTATTGCAGGCAAAATCAAATCTTTAGGTAACTGATGGTAGGTTGGTAAGGAAAGCAGGTCATTTGGCCACGGTAGGGTGAAGGACCCTTCTTAGCTGCCGGTAAACTGGGGATTGTGCCATTCGAAATGATGGTAATTGGGATTTTACAACTGGGACAACACGCTAGGCAGTATGCTGGCGACATACAGTAGGTGGGATAACTCATGAAATGTCAACCGAATTTCCGAACTGAGTTTTCGTTTCGAAAAGATTAATTAAGTAGGGTTGTAAAACTAGTCAGCCTGCAACCTAATTCCATAATATGCCAGTTACCCCAGGATGTCGGCTTTCGAACGAACTTCCTTCCGGCTGCGTGCAAAAATTACATTCTGTAAAAATGACTACTTAAGTAGCATGCATTCTTCCCGCTTATTTTCGATGCCGTTAAATGTCTAATTATATTTCACGGGAAACATGCATAAAGATATTCCTTTGTTTGCTCAATCACTAGATAATTACGCCTTCATCTAATTTTGTACTCGAAGACGGGAATTAATTCGGTTTTAAAATAGTTTCGAATTGTGGGACTTTTAAATACCGTAAAATGGCCGTTCATAAATCGTCGTATCTCTGCATTTACCAGTGTGGCTTGTAAAGTTAACAATGTGGATCTAATCCACTACTTAATTTTATGAACCCTATATGGTCTTCCCTTATTACCGTAGAGAAATGTGTAGTTTTCCGTACGCGGAAAATATGGCTTGTGGTCTGGAAACCCTGAATCCACGTGTAACGGTAGAGCGGGTTCAAAATTATTCTCAAATTGGAAAACTTTTGAAAACCGAATTCTACCTTTGAGTATAAGATTGGAAGGAGACGTAATTTTCTACCGAATGAGAGGGAAAGTGAATGTTTTTATCCATGTTTTCCACGAAATATAATGGAATTTTTGGGGCATCGAAAATCAAAGAGAAAATGTATGCTACTTAAGTAGTCCTTTTAGAGTGTAGTCTTTGCATGCAGTCGGAAAAGAGTTCAATCGAACGCCGGCATCCTGAGGTAACTGAAATATTATCCAAGTATGTTGCAGGCCGACTAGTTTCACAACCCTAATTAATTAATCTTTTCGAAACGAAAAGGAATTTCGGAATTTCGGTTGACATTTCATGATTTAGCCCACCTAATGTACAAGAAAATAGAGAAATTGTTTGGATTTCTTTCAAAGGTCATATCGTACGCTTTAACATGGCAATGGAAATGAGTGCGTTAATTAAAAAATGAACAGAAGGTAAATTTGCAAAAAATAACGCAGTTTAAGTAATGGTAGGTAATTGTCGTTGGCAGTGCAGTGTCTGCAACGGCCTGTAGATGGATGCCAAGATGAACCCCCCATATGACACGATCTGTCGACAGTTAAGTGGGGTCCTTCACCCTACCGTTGCCAGGGTGGCAACTCCAACTCCCACCTTAACGCTAACCTCAATCTCCCACAAGTTTAGCGTAAGGTCACCTGTATTACGGAGTAGCTTCCCATTCGCATGTCTTGCGAGGGGGTTTCTCTTCACTCTATGGGAGTACTACTTAGGAGGTAAGGGCATTTTCTCTAGCCCGAATTTCCGAGTCCCTATTTTACTGCGGTCGCTCATACCAATTTCATGAGCGCCTACCAATACATCAGAGTAACCAAATCGTGGATCTAGAACATCCAGCCCCTACCGATGCTGTCTCGCCCGCGGTTTCTCCCTCTCGCGCGCGCACGCGCTCGACAATTAAACACCGCAGTTCCCGCGTGTTTATATTTCCGGCTTCCCTGCCCCGCCAACAAGAACAACAACTACAAATCCGACGCTAAGCCGGGAGATCGCAGCCTGAGGCCGAGGACCACTCCTCCCTCCCACCCCCCGACCCAAGGCTGAAAATAAACTTCTCTAAAGTCAAGTGTGTGCTTGCTGGCTTGCGTGTACGCCTGAACGCTGGATTAATGGGCAGGCGAAAAGTCAAATTTTGACAGCCCCTTTGGGAGGAAAGGCGCATCTCTGAGGAGGAGGAGGAGGAGGAGGAGGAGGAGGAGGAGGAGGAGGAGAAGACATCGGCGGAACGGTGAGCGGACGGGAGCCGGTGAGGAGGCCTCGTGGCGGCATTGCGTGAGGGGAGTTGTTTTGGTGCATGACGCTGCTCCAGCTCCTGACTACTGGGCCGCGGACAGACTGACGCCTGTCTCTGCCTGATAAGCGGACCTGTTGTCTGTGAGGTGCAGAGAATGACTGGCAGGGGGGGGGAAACATGATGTGTAATGCTAGAGCCTAATTACAGACATTTTCCTTCTTCCTGTGCCAACGGCTTCGACATGCCGAAGGCCATGCGTATTGCTCCTCCTCCTCTGTTCCCACCTCAAAGACGGCATTTCCTCGCATCTTCTGGGTTCCTGGGATTCTGCTCAGTCCTTTGAGCTACTGGGGCAGATACATTTTTACAAAGGTTGGCTACAAGCCCAGTAGGGATACTTACCAACATCGACGTATTTGTATAAGTGGCAGGAAGGAAAAATGGAACAAACATTCCGGGGGCGCGTTTGTCTCCCGCTCGGTCTAATGCCGGGTCTGATTGGATTCAAACCGGCATATATCCTTTGACCGACCAAAGGGGCCCACTGTTGTGGTAGCTTCAAGGACCTGTTTTTTATCTTCTAGAAGGAAAAAACAGCCTTCTGATGCCCCCAATCAAGCTCTATTCCTGAGAAGCTAACTGCGTTTGTAGACTTTTAAATCACCAGGTGTCTGGTTTCGGTCGGATCTTATTTCGTGGCCGCATCTGCAGTAGACAAGCCTCAGCAACCTGTCCTAACCACTAACCTCAACTTCTAAACCGTGACCGGCAGCCCATCTGCTACAGGCAGAAAATGAATTAAGACACCAACCACTAACAGGTGCGGTTACGAAATAAGATCTTACCTGGTTTCCTCTTTACTCAGCATTATGGTGCTGATTTCATCTTGTCCGAGACATAGAACACAGAACGCGTGTATATCTTTATCAAGCTGGTAAGATAGATAACCCACAGGATAACTCGATCCTCGAGGACAGTATTGTATGTTTTTGATCCTAAAACGGACCACGTGGTAGATGCACTGGACCAATGCGGGGGCTAGATCGGGGTCCGGCAGACGTTACTGGAAGTAAATACCCATAGGAACTGCCAACACTGGGAGGGTGAGGCGGCGCGACCAAGTGAAGGCCCACGCAGCGCCCCCCGTTTTCTTGTTGCGCAAAGTCCTAATCAGCATACGTTGTAGACCAGGGGGTGTGGTGGTACGCTTAGGTGAAAATTTAAATAAAGCAATGGAAAAATGTGTATTCGTTAATTTGGATATGCCCGTTAATCAAAGTCGCTCAGATACGTGGAGGAATTTTCCATGGGAAGTCAGCATAGGCTACGTTGATAATTTGTTCATACTCACTAATCTTACGATGTCACCTTCGGGTGTCCTTGTACGTGAAGGAGCAGAAAGTGATATTGGGTTAGCATAACATTTAGGGCCACCCAAGCTAGCACGGTGCTTTTGCTCGATTTATCTACCGCAGTCTTGCTCCCTCAAGAAGCTACATCCTGCTGTTTACCTGCAAATTCCGAACTAGGAAGTAAGTTTCAAATGACACACATGTCGCCAATGGACCACCAGCTGAGAGCCGGTCAAGCTGGGCATGATTGTGGCCGGCGTCCTATCTCCTAGTTGCATTTTAATTTTGACATCCAGCAGCATATAACATGTGCGAACTTGGAGTTCCTGCTCATCCGACTACTTGTTAGGTTGGAAACTATGCAGGTGTGTTCACTGTACCCAGACGCAGGAGACAGCACAGTGACTTTCATGCATATTTCCCTTACAGACAGATGACTGCATCCGCCTATTGCGAGCGGCCATGGACTGGCAGACGGAGGTCATGCTGGAGACTATCCTTGGCCATGGAGTGGACAATCATTTACTGGGCTTACGAGAGATTGCCCTACAGCTAGGTAGGCCAATACCCAAGATTTTCGAGGATCACACCTACGCGAAGGCCAATTGGTTCCGACTGGGAACCAGTCAGGTAAGCAGGTCTTAACGGTCATTCACCCCTATCTGGTGAAAGTAGGGCGGTGGGACGCTTGTTAGTCTGCAAGCTGCGCCACGGAGGCGCTGGACCAAAACGGGGTCAGATTAGCTCGCGACTCGGGTTGTGCGGAGTTGCGCGAGCCTATGACTACGCCGTACATCGAGGGGTTGGTGGCACACCCAGGCGTAGGCCCGCACGCCGCATCGGTCACTGCGTTTAATTCCTTTACCAGTTGGTTGACAGATTCAGCTAGTCGGCTGGTGCATGGGAGAGGAGGAGAGAGTGAAAAAGACACAGAGGAGTCCATTTGCCACAGCAACATCAGCGCATTCCTCACTTTCACTCGCCTGAATCAATCACAGCGTGCTGCGTCGTGGCTCGGAGGGTCGCCAAGTGGCGGGTTAACTTGGACCTTCCCAGAACTGCAGTCAGGTAGCAATAGCTCCTTCTTGATATGTCCTCTATGGCACTCGGAAGTACAGTAGGTGTGCTAACTCATGAAATGTTAGCCGAAATTCTGAAATGCGTTTTCATTTCGAAAAGATTAATTAGGGAGGGTTGTAAAACTAATCCTCATGAAGCATAATTCTATTATAATTCAGCTACCTCAGGATGCCAGCTTTCGAACGAACTTCCTTCCGGCTGCATGCAGAAACTATACTCCGTAAAAATGACTACTTAAGCAGAATGCATTTTTTCTCATTGATTTTCGATGCCCTTAAAAATTCAATTTTATTTCCTAGAAAACATGCATAAACATATTCATTCTTCTGTTTATTCGGTAGGAAATTACGCCTTCTTTCAATTTTATACTCGAAGGAAGGACATAATTCGGTTTTAAAAAAGTTCCTAATTGTGAGACTTTTTAATACGGTGAAATGGCCGTTCATTAAACGTCATGTCTCTGAACTTGCTACTGTGGCTTAAATCCACTACTAAAGTTTATGAACCCCATATGTTATTCTTTTAATAGCGTAGAGGAATGTATGGTTTTCCGTACGCGGAACATATACGGCTTGTAGTTTGGAAACCTTGAATGCAAGTGTAACGGTAGGTCGGATCCAAAATGATTCGGTTATACTGACAGTGCCATGTCATAAGAGTTATTAGCTGCGGGAAAAAGGGGACGCCTCATTATAGTTAATTCATGTGCAAACCACCGGTATTGCGCTCACCCCCCCCCAGGTCAGGCGGTAGACTTTGTCGTTTGCGACGATCGAAATGTCAGATGTTATCTAAAAATTCGCATTTTATTTCATTCACTTACAAAAATCGCTTTTTGAAACTGTGCCACTGACTTTAGGAATTGTTTTAATGGTAAACAAGCAATTTGGTCATTTGGCAAAGAGATTTTGACAGTTGTGTTCTTCTAATTACCTGAGGGGTGGCATCACATAGTTCTCTACTAACGTGGTGCCTGATGTCACCATAATAACTGTGGTCAAAATGAGATAGTCTTTGACAAAATTACAGTCAGTGACCGATCTCATGAAATATTAACTAAAATTCTGAAATTCATATTCGATTATGAAAAATTACTTAAGCTGGGTTGTAATACTGAATATGTTGCAGGATAATACCGTAATATTTCAGGCACCCTGGAATGTTAATTTAAAAATGCTCTTTTTTTCGACTGCGTGCAATTACCACACTCTGTAAAAATGGCCGATTGAGTAGTATGCATTTTTTCGGTGCGCTTTTGTTGAAAACACCCATAAAACCGTTCTTTTTTCCCTTATTTAATAACAAATCACATCTTCAAATTTTATATCGGTAGAAAAGGTATCTTATGGTTTTAGAAAAGTTTTAAATTCCAGAGTAATTATGAACTCGATTTACCGTTGCATTTAGGGTTCACAGTCTACTAGTTGTATACTTTCCGTGCAAGGAAAAACATAAATTCCTTCACGCCATCAAGAAGATGTCACATGAAGGTCATAGGGGGCATGAATTACGTTATATACTTCATTAGAGGCATTACTAAACATGCAGATACGATGCTATTTGAAAGGGCTTTCTATGATCTTAAAAATCTCATTAGTGAAAACTCTTTTAAAACCAAGAGATACCCCTTCTTCGACCATAAAATTTCAAGACGTGGTTTGCTAGCAAGTATATGCAAGAATGAATATTTTTATGCATATTTTCTACAAAACATATTTGAATTTATGGGTGCATCGAAAATCAATGGAAAATGCAAATTATTCAATTACCGAGTGCACTAACTGCAGGCGGCCGAAAAGAAGTGAATTTAAAATCAACATCCTGGCATGCCTGAAATATTATGGTTTTATGCCGTAAAATAATCAGTATTTTAACCCCACTTAAATAATCCTTCCTAATCTAATATGTATTTCAGAATTTTAGTCAACGCTTCATGAGATCGGTCACTGATTGTAGCCTGGTCAGTCTACCCTTTAATCGGGCGCAGCACTTCTTTCCAACTGTTTGACCCCAAAACTGTTAACACACCGCGAGCCCTGCCACTTCGATTAAATTTTGTGTTCGAAAATTTGTGTCCTCCATCCAGCCAAAGCATAGGACAACTACATTTTTTCAATTTCTCAAATATATTATGATCATTTGTTAAGGAAGAAATCCATTTTCAACCACACTACTGAAAAAATAGCAGTTCAGCGGCGGTCATTACTATCAGAGTACACTGAACTTACTGAATGCTGGGAAGATTTGCTGGCAGAGATCGGATTTTGCTTTTAGGTACCAACAACAATGGATACCTTCATGTGCTACGGCGCAGTCGTGCCAGATGGTTACGGTGCCGCCTATAACCCCCACGCGGACTACATTGTGACAGTTGTGACCTGCTGGAAGGATGATCCGGAAACCAGCGCCGAAAAGTTTTCAGCCCTACTGGAGGCCTCTCTCCTCGAAATGCACGACCTGGTGACCTCAAATCCCGACTTGGCAAGCCAAAAGTCGCCTGAACCAACTCAGTGGACAATACCAGAGGAGATTGCTGGTATCCAAGACTAAAACTGTCCGCAGGCCACGCGCTGTAGTCGGAGTCCTGTGGTATTTTAGCTTCCGATACATTTATCTTTGACCTTTCTTTTCTCCTTTTTGACAAACCGATTATTTTTGTCAGTTCAGTCTTGTAAGCGCCTCCGTGACCTAGAAGTACTGCGAAGAAAACACTTTCTTGTGATTCTTTAGCCCTTTTCTCATATGAATACTGCTTCGGCTCTAGACATGCATATGATAAACAAACTAAAACAAAAATCTGATAAAATTTCAAACTAAAGTTCCTTGCCCTTCAGTCAGTTTGACTGGTTGTGATGTGTACAAAAAATACTGTTGATATTGTCCCCAGGATTACATTGTTTTTCTTTTTCGCTTGACCCCTTCTCCCCTCCCCGCAAAAAAAAACCGGTAAAACGGAAAATAATATGAGGTAGTTCGACCTACACAGCCCTCCTCCCATGCCGATGATAAGGACGATGATATTTTCGCGTTTATTTTTTCCTTCCTACCTGATTAGTCAGTACCTTGTTTTGTTGTCATCTTGTAACTCCTAATAAATTCTGTTGTAACAAGCATCGCTTATTCGAATACCTTAAATCGACTAGCTAAAAGTGAAAATTCTCCTCTTACTTAGCGTTTGGGCTACAGTTTCTTTCAGCAGGACAGTATGTTGAGCCCAAAAATGTTTCCTAACCCTGTCTTCGGCAGAAAAACAAGCACCAACACTTGCAGCCGACTCTGAGTGATTTCTTCGAAGTCTGGATTGACGCTTGACATTCAGGCGGGTGGGTACAGTTGCGTGCTCAAGTGCCTTCGTCAGCACTAGCAAACCTGCGGCTTCGGGACGTTGTACGTGGTGTGCAAGAACTTCAAGGGGAACACTGTTAATCCCAGAGCTAGGAAAATGAATTTTGATTGGCCCACCTGACAATGCGTTTTGCAAAATTGAAACCTGAGCTGCGTCCTGTGGATGTATGCAGTCTTCTTCCAACTCCGAGATGTATAGTGCGTGGCCGATCTGATGAAACGTTGGCCGAAATTCTGAAATGCGTTTTTAATTAGGAAGGATTACTTGGGTAGTGTTGTAAACCGGCTTATCAAGCAAAATGCTCTCATAGTATTTCGGACTTACTAGGATGTCGGCTTTTGAATGCACTTCATTTCGACCTCCTGTAGAAGCCAAACTCGATAAAAATGGCCACTTAAGTAGCATGTATTTTTCACACTGATTTCGATGGGCTTATAAATTCAAATATTTGTTATGGAAAACACGCACAAAAATGTGTTTTCTTTTACTTGTTTGGTAGAAAATAACATTTTCTTTACATTCTGTACCCAAAAAGCGTATGTTTGGGTTCTGAAAAGTTTCTCAATTCCCCAGTAATTTTGGGCCAGATCAGTTGCTGCATTATCATTTAGCGATTCCATTCTACAAGGTACATGCTTTCCGCACAAGAAAAATCATATATTCCTCTACGCCTTTAAGAAGATACCGTGTTGAGTTCATAGAATTTCGCAATTAATGTGGATTCTGTTGTACATTTCGCAAGGAGCATTGGTAAACGTGGATGTGCGACGCTGTATGTATGTACATCGCACGGTCTTAAAAATCTCCTAACTGGAAACTTTTTTAAAACCTAAACACACACTTTCTTTGGGTATAAAATGTAAAGAAAATGTTTTTTTCTACCAAAAAAGTAGAAGAAAACATACTTTTATGCGTGTTTTCTATAAAATGTATTTGAATTTATAAGACCATCGAAAATCAGTAGGAAAAGTGCATGTCATTTAAGTAGTCATTTTGTTATCGGGTGTGGTTTCTGCAGAAGGTCAAAAAGGAGTGCATTCAAAAACCCACATCCTGGCGAGTCCGAAATGCTATAGGATTATGCTGCAAGCTGATCAATTTTACAACCCCATCTAAGTTATTCTTCTTAATCGATAACGCATTTTAGAAGTTCGGTTAACATTTAATGAGATCGGTCACGCACTGTAGCAGCGGCATTCTTGATCAGCGTGCAAACGATTGGAGCACTCTCTGAGATTGACTGATGAGCCAGAGTTAACTGACCACAGAGAAACACATGATCCATTTGTTAAGGACGGGCGGGGCGGCAGCCCTGAGGCTACCCCCGCTGGGGAGCCTCTGGAATGTGGCGACCCATTTAACTTGAAACTTCCTTACGGCCTAGGGGACAGTCTGGAAGTGCCTCTCAATGATGTTCCCAGCAGCTGCCGTATTCGACCAACATAAGATGGAGACATGAGTGCAAGTCAACAACTCTGTCGAGGTGAGAAGCGGAAATAAACGATCGCGGAGGAGCCGGGGTCACGGTCCGCATCAGTTGGCGGAGTGATATACAAGATTGATGCGCCACTCCACCATTGTATTATTCCCGATCGGAACCGACAGGACCACGAGCCCGTAACTCAGTGGTTAGAGGCGTGGACTTCTAACTAACAGGTCGCGAGTTCGAGCCTCGAGTGTTCCACACCTTGGGGTTGGGTATGACTGGCTGAGGACGGCTAATAAGCCAAAAATGGCCGTTCCAGTCTCCCTTGTCTTTGTCGGCAATAACATTCTGCCTATATCATGCGCCGCCGTGCAGCTGCTGGTTGGGCTTGAGAGAGAGCCTCTAAAGCACAACGGAACGAGCGAGTTCCGTAAGAACAATCGGTGAGTGCTCCTCCACCATTTATGTAGTCCTCGTGGACATCACGAAAGTTTGGGTAAAGCCTTTCTTTTCGTGCCCGGATGATGGCGACCAACACCAGTCTAGTCCCAGGGCAGTTGAAGTAAGTTTTCAGAGCCGAACATGTCCCGAGAAGAACTCAAAAAACGGTAATAATCTGGTTTGCTTGCATTTCGCAACGTAGTCGGTGGATGGAACTGTTCGCCTATCCTGTTACCATGACATGGCAGATCAGTATGATATTGATAGGGCAGCCAGCTAACACAGGCCATAACCGACGAATTGGTTCGGGGAGTGGATGCGGTTTGTGTCTGTGGAGATCAATATCGGTCAGCAGACAAGTTGGCCGTTCATCTATTATTATGTTTTTTGCAACTGAATAGTGTTTAGGCGCGTTGTCGGTGTCCCAAGTAGGTACCTTCGCCAGGAGAAACACACCCGCCCAAGTGAACGCGTCCGGCATACAACGGGCTTGCTAATCATGTCACTTTCTGACAGAGATTCAGTTGTGTCCATCTGATAACATGCTTTGCGAGCCTCAGCTATTTCATTCCTCCCCATGTTTCACCGACTCCCTCCCAATATCGTGGAAATAGCTACCACAGTAAAATGCTTGACTTGCCTCTTAATGGAATTTAGTTATGGCTTTCGGAGAGTCAATGATTTAATTACCTGCCAACGGGGGGGTCATTTCTGTTCTTTTTAGGGCAACATTCTATGATTATGTAGCCAATAGCTCGGTGTGCGCCCATTCCTGATTGAATTAATATCCGATGTGCAGCGACAGAGTATGGCAGATGGCAAAGCAATGATGGACTTCGGTTCCGTGAAACGCTCATGACCAATCTGCTAGACCCTGTCTGTAGACCGAGTACGAGCGCATATTTGTGTTTTTAGTCCCTCCCGGTGGTCTAGGTTGTGGTTGGCCAAATTAAGACTTAATAGGCATTCTTTTTCGTCCCTCCTCTCTGTTTCAGTTTCAGTTCATTAAGGGAAATATAGGTGAGCGCCTTTGAACTCCCTATTGGTTACAAGTCGTCGGAGAAAAACATTGATAGTGGGAAGGCGAAAAAGGGGGTTTTGTACATAATCGCTGTCAGCTAGTCAAAAAAGAGTAATCAATAACGTCTACTAACTAGTTGCAAGTAGTATAAACAAGTTTAAGTTGGTGCCAGGTTATGTGAGTGGATGTAAGGCTGGTAACTGGGAGGCTTGATGCGCGTCAAGTCTACACTTAAAGGACTTCACACAGGAGGAGGTTGCAACATCGGTGGGCAGGGCATT